GTTCCTGGCGCGAACTAGAGCCAAGTGCTCCTCGATGTAAGGAGCTACCAATGAAGAGTGTTGCAGAACAGTGAAATGGGCTTTACGGAATAAATTGTTGTCTACCGTCATTATTGCTTTCCTTCCGAGAGTTCCCTTTCCCCGTAGTCTCCCTTCATGGCGTGATTCAGGTACCCCGATTGGGCGAAGGTCTTCGATAAATTCTACGCAAAATTCGATGACCTCCTCTGTTCCATAACCCTTGGCGATGCTTGCCTCTGGACGAGCACGGTTACGAACATACTTCTTCAGAACGCCCATGTACCTCTCGAAAGGAAACATGTTGTGTAGGTACATAGGCCCGAGAATACGGATCTCTTTCACAAGGTGACAAAGCAGATGCGTCATTATATTGAAAAATGAAGGTGGAAATATCAACTCAAAACTGACGAGACATTGCACCACTTCATTCTGAAGGGCTTCTAATCTATCCGGATCGATGACCTTCTGCGAAATTGCGTTCATGAATGCACATATCTTTGTTATTGTTGCCCGGACATTGTCTGGAAGGATACCCCTTATTACAACTGGTAGCAGTTGTGTCATCAACACGTGACAGTCATGAGACTTTAGGTTTGTGAACTTCTTCTCCTTCGTGCTTATTATTCGCTTGATATTCGTGGAGTATCCAGACGGTACCTTTATGCTCTCCAAGCATTCAAACATACTTTCCTTCTCTGCCTTGCTAAGAGTGTAGCTGGCTGGACTCAAGTAATGGCTTCCTTTCTCCTTTGGTTCCGGGTGAAGGTCGCCGCGTTGTTCCATATGCTTCAGATCATTACGTGCTTCCAGTGTATCTTTCGACTTTCCGTATACACCTAGGAAGCCAAGAAGGTTTACGCAAAGGTTCTTAGTGAGGTGCATCACGTCGATTGCGTGGCGTACGTCCAAGAATTCCCAATATGGTAACTCCCAAAATATAGAGTTCTTTTTCCACATCGCCGCGTGACCATCTTCGCTCTCTATATGCTGGCTTCCAGGCCCCTTTCCGAACACTACTTTAAGATCTTTAACCATAGCAAACACTGTTTTTCCGCTGCGATGTTTAGGCTTCGTACGGTGGTCGGCCTTATGTTCGAAGTGCTTGCCTTTCTTCCGTACCGGGTGGTTTGCTGCAAGGAATCGACGATGACCCATGTATACAACCTTCCTACAGTGCTTAAGATACGTACTTTCTATTTCATCCATACAGTGAGTGCAAGCCTTGTACCCCTTGTTGGACTGTCCGGATAGGTTGCTAAGTGCAGGCCAATCGTTGATGGTTACGAACAGCAGCGCTCGTAGGTTAAACTCCTCCTGTTTGTCCTCGTCCCACACGGGGACACCTTCCTTCTTCCACAACTGTTTAAGATCTTCGACCAGTGGTCTTAGGTACACGTCGATGTCGTTACCAGGTTGCTTGGGGCCTTGAATAATAATCGGCATCATTATGTACTTCCTCTTCATGCATAGCCAGGGGGGGAGGTTGTAGATACACATCGTAACGGGCCAAGTGCTATGGCCGCTGCTCATCTCTCCAAAAGGATTCATGCCATCCGTACTCAAACCAAACCGTATGTTTCGTGTGTCCTTTCCAAATTCTTTAAATTTTCTGTCGATGTTTCGCCACTGCGAACCATCGGCGGGGTGTCTCAGCATCCCGTCCTGTTGACGCTCTTCAGCGTGCCATCGCAACATTCTAGCATTCCCCTTGTTCCTGAACAAACGCCTTAGCCGTGGTATTATAGGGAAATACCACATCACCTTAGCAGGAATTCTCTTCTTTGTTAGCTGCCCGTCAACTTCTCCTGGATCGTCCCGTCTAATCTTGTATCGTAGTGCTTTGCAAACAGGGCATGCTTCTAGGTTCTCATACTCCTCACCGCGATATAGGATACAATCGTTCGGACATGCGTGAATCTTATGAACTTCCAGTCCTAACGGGCAGACTATCTTCTTAGCCTCGTACGTTGTCTCGGGCAATTTGTTTCCCCCCGGAAGAATGTTCTTGACGAGTTTCAATAAATCGCCAAATGCCTTGTCACTAACCCCATTTTTTGCCTTCCATTGCAACAACTCCAGAGTGGTATCCAACTTTTTGTGCCCCTGCTCGCAACCTGGGTACAACGAAGTTCTGTGGTCCTCCAACATCTTGTCCAATTTATGGGCCTCCTTTTCACTTTCGCAGTCTTCCCTGGCGTCCTGCAACATCTGACCAAGATCATCCGCAACGTCGTTACCATCAGCAGCTATTTCCTCCTCGCCCGTTTGATTTCCTTCAAATCCAACATACTGAGCAAAGTCCGGAATATTGTCGTCTTCCACTTCATCTTCTTCCATTTCAACACCTTGCTCTCCGTGGGATGTCCAACAATTATAGCTTGGCATGAACCCCGACTCAAATAAGTGGAAATGAATAGTCCTGGATGCAGAATACTCCTTCTGATTCTTACACTTATTGCATGGACAACAAATAAAACCCCTTTGCCTGTTAGCTTCGGCCACTCTCAAAAAATAGTGCACGCCGTCAATAAACTCTTTGGACCGCCGGTCAGCGTACATCCATTGCCGATCCATCTACATGAGTCAAAAAAACCGCACACAAATAATTATTCTTACAATAATGACAGTCATACAATAATTATAAGATATCTTTATTCATACAAAAATCATAAAATATTACACCAAATAATTCTTAAAAACTATTTGTAAAGTTTTAAACTAATTTTAATGTGTTTTACTTCTTTTAATTTTTATTTTAGTTTGTTTTCTATTATTTAATATTAACTTTCACTAGAGTTTTCCTTCTCAACTATTTTATAAAACCTTGTTTAGCAAATGAACTAAATTTCTATATATTCTTTCTTCCCCACACACATTTTCTCTCTCATCAACTTACAACTAAATTTTGGAGACAAAAAAAGTGTGCAAAACATAGGTGCAAATGTAGTATGACAAAAAAAACATTGGAGGATGAAGTTGCAAACCTTTTAGGCACCTCCGATTTGTATGTAATCACCAAAATAAATTCAATAGAAATTTTGGCATGACCTCCCCTCTTTTTTGAAGAAATTTTGAAGCTTGCTCGGGCAGCTGGAGGAGGAAGAAGACATATATATAGGGGTGGGACTTTAGTCCCGGTTGGTAGCACCAACCGGGGCTAAAGATCACCGGGATCATTAGTCCCGGTTGGTATTACCAACCGGGACTAAAGTTAAGATCTTTAGTCTCGGTTGGTAGCACCAACCGGGGCTAAAGATCACCGGGATCTTTAGTCCCGGTTGGTATTACCAACCGGGACTAAAGTTAAGATCTTTAGTCCCGGTTGGTGCTACCAACCGGGACTAAAGATCCCGGGGGGGCCTGACAGGTCCTGACAGCATTCGAACCGGGACTAAAGATGATCTTTAGTCCCGGTTGGTAACACAAACCGGGACTAAAGATCAAATATGCCCGTTACCCTTTTGAACCGGGACTAAAGATCATCTTTAGCCCCGGTTTTTATTGCATCCGGGACTATTGTGGAAATCGGCCGACCGACGAAAGATGGTTTCTCCACCAGTGACCCGAGTACTATATTAGCAAGCTGATCACATAACTGCTACATGCATGATGATACTACATACATGCACTGATTAACACATACTAGTAACCTTTGAGATAATTTATTTTTATTTATTTGATTGTCATTTTGATTATATGGTTGTATTCGTTATAATTAAATCTTTACAACAAGATCTCAGAAGGTTATATTTTGATTGAAAAATTATATATGTTTTAATCGTTAAGATTTAATGTTTCACGTGTTAGAAATAAATGTTCCATCTAGAATTTGATTATGTTGCACATTTTAAGTTTTTTATCTGATAGATGTTGTTTTACTGTTGCACACGGGATCAATAAATATATTATGATGTTTCATTACTTATTTGTGGATGTTGCACATCGTATTATTTGAATGTTTCATCAAGTATATTGTGTGCAACAGTTACAAAAAATTAGTGAAACATAAGAAAATATCTATTAAAACATCTAAATAATACTGTGATCGACATTTTGTTGCAACGGTAAACTTAAAATTTGTAATACAAAGTGAAATTCCATTTGAAACGTTTATTTCTCACACATGAAAATCTAATTGCACATGCTGAAAAACACACACACACACACATTATTTTTTTCATCGGATCATGTGAGATCTTATTACGGTGATCTTCCTATAACATAGAAAAACACCACATGCAATATTACAAATAAGTATCTGAAACATCAACCAATATTTATTGAAACATTCCAATAACACCGTGTGCAACACTAAAAAGGTCATCAGAATACAATGATGTGGGATATTGTTCCGAAGATTTGATTATAATGAATCCAACTACATAATTTATTCATAGTTTGGATAAATAGGTGGAGGAAAGAAACATTTGAATTCTCCACCATTATGAACAGTTTTACTAAATCTGAGTGCATGCACGGATGCACCTACACCAATTGATGTGTACGTTCGATTTCTTCCTTCCACCTGGATGGCTGATGTGAAGCATTTTTCCGATTTTGTTAACACAGTAAGTAGGAGTACTCCATTGGAACATGACGCATAATACTACTCTACTTAATCCGTAATATGCGGACCATATATATACATATGCCTATACTATACTCCCTCCGTTAAAAAAAAGCCAACCTCTCTCGTAGGTTAGCTTTTGTTTTTTTACGGAGGAAGTGCATATGTAGAGTGGGTATGCAACAGGGTTTATGTTACCGTCGGTAACCGCGCGGTTACCGCTTTTACCATGGGGGTATGGTAATAGAAAATACCGCGGTAATCTCCTTTAATTCAAATAAATTTAAAAAATAATTTAAATTTTTAATAAATTTTACACGGTTATCACGTGCTGCGCGGTAACCCTAGCCCGGCGGTTTGGAAAACCTGGTATGAACAAGCCGTGACGACGTGAGTGAAGCGTGGCGTGGATTGGATAAGGGAGGAGAAACAATAACTCCCTCCTCCTCCTCCTCCTGCTCCTAGTACTAGTAGAGCAGCGGCGGCAATGGCGGCGCCTCCTCTGCTGAGCCTGAGCCAGCGGCTACTCTTCCTCTCCCTCTCCCTCCCCAAGCCACAGCTCGCCCCCAACCCCTCCTCTTTCTCCCCCACGCGCGCCGCCTCCACCGCCCCGCCACCTCCGGAAGGGGCGGGCCCCGCCGCGCCATCCCGCGGGGACCGCTTCCTCGGCACCCAGCTCGCGGCCGAGGCCGCCGCCCGCGTCCTCGCTCCGGAGGACGCCGAGAGGCGCCGCCGCCGCCGGGAGAAGCGCAAGGCCCTCGCGCGGAAGCCCTCCGCCGCCGCCTGCTACGGCTGCGGCGCGCCGCTGCAGACGGCCGACGAGGCCGCGCCCGGCTACGTCCACCCCGCCACCTACGACCTGGTAGTACTATTAATTCTTCCTTCTCCACCCACCCATGACATGATTACTACTCCTACGTAGTAAGTAATAATATGCATATGAATGCATGCGATGCGAGCAGAAGAAGAGACACCATCAGCTGAGAACCGTGCTATGTGGGAGATGCAAGCTCTTGTCTCATGGCCACATGATCACTGCTGTTGGTGGCCATGGCGGCTATCCTGGAGGGAAGCAGTTCGTTTCCGCGGACCAACTCAGGGACAAGCTCTCCTACCTTCGTCATGAGAAAGCTTTGATTATCAAGCTGGTAAATCACAACATGCCCTGCCCTGCCCTCTAATGTAATCAAACGCAATGGCTGATGCAAATCCTTCACATCTTCTATGCGTCTGCCTCTTGCCGCTCATTCTCGCTGTTTACATGCAGGTTGACATAGTTGACTTCAATGGGAGCTTCCTGGCGCGTGTGCGCGATTTTGCTGGTGCTAATCCTATTATACTAGTCATCACAAAGGTGATTCTTCTACATACTGCATGCATATTCGTGTTTCAGGATTAAAAGCTCATTCTTTTGTAATTGTAGGTTGATCTCCTTCCTAGAGATACAGATTTGAATTGCATTGGCGACTGGGTTGTTGAGGCAGTTGTCAAGAAGAAGCTCAAGTAAAACTTCTTCGCCCCTCTTTCTGTTCCAGTAACTATTGCATCAGGTTTTCCATTTCATTAATTGGAAATTAAGCGTGCTTCTTGGCATCTGTAGCGTACTTAGTGTCCATTTGACAAGCTCAAAGTCACTCGTTGGCGTCACTGGGGTTATATCAGAGATTCAGCAGGAAAAGAAGGTCAGCATGCAATCTGTATTTGTTTTCCCAGTTATATTGTGCTAACCTGTCCCCCTGTAAGCCTTTTCCAACACTTGCCTTGCACAATTGAATGGTAGTTTTTATTGTGTCATATGTACACTTATTTCTTCACTTCCTTGGCTGTTATACATTTCATAATACTGATCATAATGTTGTTCTTCCTTTCTTGTTAGGGCCGAGATGTATATATACTGGTAAGCAATAAGCACTCTCCATCTCCTTTTTTCAATTATTTATGAACTCTTGTGCTACAGATTTTACAGGCATACCATTGTATTTTTGTATGGCAAAACACTAAGCTTGCTGCCATTTGTACAAACCTAACAAGCTGCATTCATATATCAACAAATGTTGATAGCTTGATGCTTATAATGTTCTATTGATACCTGATCATTATGTTAGTAATATTATGGAAAGATTCAGAATTGGATGTTACCCACTAACTAACATACATAGACCCATCTTCAGGTTCTCTCCTTCATTTTTCATTATTTACACAGAATGATTGAACCTTGCAATTCATAATGCTTCAAATAACATGAGTAATTTATTTATGCCTAATGAATCTAGTACACCATTACAGGGTTCAGCAAATGTTGGGAAATCTGCATTTATAAGTGCTATGCTAAGTATGTTCTTACCATTCTTGACTACTATTGCTGTCTCCCTTTTTCAACCTATTACTTGTTTTGTTCGCTCATTCTGTTCTTTGTTACACTAATAGTTAGAGACCATAATTTGTAGGGACGATGGCATATAAGGATCCAGTGGCAGCTGCAGCTCAAAAATACAAGCCGATACAATCTGCTGTTCCTGGAACGACCCTTGGTCCTATTCAAATTGAAGCATTTTTAGGAGGCGGGGTACGGTTCCATCTTTTACTCTGTACACTTTAGTTTTAAGATATATAATATGCCAAATTTTCTTGTTGACCTGCTGTACCAACTTTATCTATGTAGCTAGAGAATGAACTTAAATGTTGTCTTATATATTGCTAACATGCCCAACCAATTATTATACTTCTCTGACACATGAAGGACTATAATAATCTTGAATACATGCAGAAATTATATGATACACCTGGAGTCCATCTTCACCACCGGCAAGCAGCAGTTATCCATGCTGATGATCTGCCTTCTCTTGCACCACAAAGTCGTCTAAGGGCACGGTGTTTTCCTGTATGTATTTGTATTCAGTGGCACACATGTTTCTTTCTCAAAACATGCACACTAATCTTTTCTTCAGAATATAATGTTGTGTTCAGGCTAATGATACAGATGTTGGATTGAGTGGGAATTCATTATTCTGGGGTGGACTAGTCCGTATTGATGTTGTCAAGGTGCCTAGTTGAGCCCAATTTCAATTCCAAAAATTTTCTACCACTTCTATTTTTTTCCATTCTGTAGTACTTACCACTGATTATTAATCAATCAATCAATCAATCTAGGCTCTTCCACGCACACGACTGACGTTCTATGGACCCAAGAAGCTAAAGATTAATATGGTCCCAACCACAGAAGCAGATGAATTTTATGAGGTACACCTGTGTTTGCTAATCAGACAACAGTATGCAGCTAATCATTTGTTGCTAGGTTGAGCTACTTAGAAAGCATCAAGCTACTGGCATACTGTTTTGTTCTCAAAGTTCTATCAAATTTAGATTAGTATTTGCAACCCACATACATACCTCTTCCTTTAAATATATATGCTCATATAACTTCCATGCCTTCCACACCGATGCTCACTTGAAATCTCTATGGATGGTATAATAACTGCATCTATTTGCCATAGTTCATGCTTTCTATATTTCTGTTCATCTAAGAAAACTGAAGACCATAACATGTAAAATAGCCGCTAATTAAACCAGCTTCTGTTCTATGTGCTATGTGAATCAGGTAAATAATAATAGTATGTGTTCTGCTGATCAGGGTGGGGTTCGAAATGGCTTTTTTATTTAACGAGTTGTCTATTTCACCTTTCCAGAGAGAAGTTGGAGTTACATTGACTCCCCCAGCTGGCAAAGAGAAGGCTGAAGGATGGGTTGGTCTGCAGGGTGTTCGTGAGTTGCAGATAAAATACGAAGAGTCTGATAGGTAACTCCTTGCAAGATGCAAGATGGCTTCAATTATTCATCTAGCATGCAGTACCAGGGGGCTTTAGGATCAGACAATTAGTGGTTGAGTAATTCAGATCTCATGTTTCATGAAGAATATGGTGTGTGTTCTCTCCAAGCATCTGCTTTCATATGTTACTGACATTTGAGGATATGTTTGTTGTGCAGACCTGCTTGTGACATTGCAATTTCTGGTCTCGGGTGGGTTGCGGTTGAGCCACTTGGTGTGCCATCAAGCAACCCAGATGAGAGTGCTGAGGAAGAAGACAATGAGAGTGGTGAACTGCATTTGAGAGTACATGTTCCCAAGCCTGTTGAGATCTTTGTCCGACCTCCATTGCCTGTTGGTAAAGCAGCATCGCAATGGTACAGATACCAGGAGTTGACCGAGGAAGAAGAGGAGTTGAGACCTAAATGGCATTACTGATGCTTATAGCTATTTTAGTTACGATGACAGCATCGTGTAGTCCAAATAGAGCACGTAATTATATATGTTCTCAGATGATGTGATAGGGATGACAGTTTTAGCATCAGCTGATTAAAATTACTCCAATAATGATTCAGGAAGGAATTTTGGATAAAGACATCGACAAGTGAAGCTCTTGCGGGTACTCTCTGTTTCTAAGATCTTCGTCCTAGCACATATACCATCACATCATTTTTCCTTTGCAACACTATGTGTGACGCACTGACGCTTAAAGCGAATGCCGTAATGAATACTTGAATATAGTTAAGAGGCAACAATTTTTTTTTTCAGATCTGAATCTAAAACCAACCAAACACTTTTCAACGGGTCTCCAACTCCAACGAGAGCTATCTTCCACCAGAGTTAAAGTTTGGAGCCCTACCAAACGGGCCTTCATATTCGGCCAATGCCTTCTATATATGTTCTAGCTTAGCATTCGCAACGTGTATACTCAACTGTCAACTTTGTGGAGCTATATATAGAATTTATTTAGCAAAAGAAAAGAAAAAGGAAGAAAAAAGCCCTACCCAGAAAACGTGTATCCAAAATACGTTTTCAAAGTTAGAAAGCGCATTAAAAGCACTACGCAAAAGTTCTTGGTAGATTTTGGTTCGGCCCATTGGATCTTCCGACTCACACGCACCACCATGACCGACGGGCCCTCGACCACCGGCGATTCGCCGCCGCCGCCGCCGCCGGAGAGCGGCGGCTCCATCTCCTCCATGGTTGCCTCCTCTGCCGCCTCCGCTGCGGCCGCGGCCGCGGATTTCACTCGCCGTGGCGAGGCCTTCGGCGCCGATATGGCCTCCGCAGCTAGGGCTGCCATGGACACCGCCATCGCCCACTCTCAGTCAACCGCCATCGCCGCCGCAGAAGCTGCCTCCTCGGCCAAGGCCGACGCCCTCGCCGCCTTCCCCAGCCTCACGCTCAACGCAAAGGTGCCACCTTCTTGCCCCCCATTCCCCACTCGCTCCGATCTCAGCAAATTTGCTAAAGCTCGATTTCTTTTGGCCTTTTCCCCCCTCTAATCTCTAATGTTAGGAGGAGTTCGAATGGTTAAAGAAGGAGTACACGGTTCACGAGCAGGTGGTGTTCGGCAAGATCAAAGGTGCATTTTCCTGTTACTTCCGTAACTCAAAATCCAGAAATTTACAGATTGATTTGTATTGTTGGCCTGTTTTATTATGTATAACAATTGAATTTCGATTGCTTATAGATCGTGTTGTCTAACATGGTTCTGTTCTTTTGATGTTCGATCAATTATTGACTTTCAGTTACCGTGTTTGCAGAGGGTGCCATCATGGCCATCGAGCATCCGGGAATTGCTGCAGGCTCCACAGCAATTGCTGGAATTGTGCTCTTCAAAAGTAAATACCATCTCCTGAAAGTCATTTCTTTGGTGGCTTACTTCTTGTTTGTTACATTCACAAAAGAATACCTGCTTCTGTAATGCTTTACACATGATACACTTTAGATGATATGAAGAGGGTACCTGTCAGTACCATATGTTAAAAATACATTGAATCCTTTTATGTAACACAAGTTAGAATGTTGGAGCAAAGTGTTCCTTAATATTTTTTGTAACAACAAAGATACGCTATTGGAAGTGATTTCTTATCATGCTACTTATAGTTGACTGAAATGTACTGAGACCTTCTTGAGCTAATTAATTAGATCCAACTTAGAAATCACAAGCAGATTCAGTTCAACCTGTCTTATTATAATCATCACATTATTCTGATTAATTGGATTTCATTAATTCTATAAGAGTGTTGTGAAATTCACTTTCAAATTATCAGCCTGTACATGCAGAGCTAGTTGCCTAGCATCTGATGAGACAAGGATGTTGATGCAAGTTTGGTCTGTGATTGTTTCAAGAATCTAAAATGTTCGGCCTTTTCTTATATATCACTAACTTTAGTGTGACTAAATTCGTTGCAGGGCCAAGGAGCTACCTGATCCAACGGGTGCGACGCATATTTGTAAGCAAGGAGGTACGCACTGACTGCCTGTCTAGCTATAACATTTCTATGAATTCTTGACATTGCTACTTGCTACCTGCCTACCTCCATGTCTCGAAAGTTGCATACACCATCTTGTTTACAGATTGTCACCTCCTTACTACTTGCTGACTAGCTTCACAGTTCGAACCTATCAGATGTAATGCTTTAGTGCTCATTATTACTGTCATGGACATGTTGTGATACAATTCTTTGTTCTGAAACAGAGCGAAACACAAATTCGTCTAAAACTAGCATACATTTTTTTAATGAAATTCATGCATGCTACCTACATTCATGAAAAAAAAATACAGGGTTGATTTTCTTTAGAATGAATACAACCTATGTTGATTGTATTTCATAAGTTTCCAAATTGCAGACCCTACTTTCTGGCATCCAAGCTGGCGTGAATCACATGAGACAAACTGTCAATCTTGTGTCCAATGAAAGCCAAAAGTTGCTGGTATATTTCTTTATTTTGTTGAAAACTGAACCATCTGTTGTCAAATTGGCCATTTAAGTTCAAACATTCTTCATGTCTGATTTTGTGTATGCATTCCAGGATAGAGCAGCAACTGCTGAAAAAAGATTTCAGAAAGGATGGAACACACTCAGGCAAGCCTATTTTTTAAAGCCTTTTACCATTTATTTTTGTCTTCCCTTCTCTAATACAGCATTGGATTTGCTGTCTACTTGTTTCAGGGAAGAAGGGCGTGCCATTCAAAGTGAGCTGAACCAAATAAGTGATATTGAGAAGCAAGCAGTAGGTGTGTAATAATTTCTTGCGCTATTGCCTTTTCCTATGTCAATTTGAATTTTAGAGCGGAAATTGCCTCATCTTGAATTTGACATATAATGAGTTGTGTCCTATAGGTCTCAAGAGCATTCTCAATCAGCTTCCCAGAGCACATGCATCTGAGTTTCAATCAGAGGTCAGTATATTTTCTGGTATCTGAACACTATGATGTTTACTGAAACGATTAGGTGATGTTGAAGCTGTCACTGCAATTTGTTTTTTTCCCATGTTGTGCAAATCTGTTGGCTAATTTCTTTGCCAAAAGGAGAGGGTATAGAAGTTTTATTCAGTCAATGTCGGCATCGATTTTATAAGTAGTGTGCAGAAATTATTTTTCATGGTTTCATATCTCATAATTGCAGCATTACATTATTTTATCACAAACCAGTTTTACACTAAAGATAAGATAGTATTTTGAAGATGGGAGTTCTGTAATGTTAATTTATAGCAAGCTTATTTTTTTAATTGCAGATATCTGGCCTAGCCTCTCAGGTGAAGAAGGAGAAGAGAGTACTTAACAACACCCTCACGAAGATTGCGAACTATGGTGTCCCTATCTGACTGTCGAAACGCAGCTTCATTTGCTGTAGTTTTTATCAATGAAGAGATTCTGAAGACATGGGTGAATCTTTTACTTTATACTACTTGTCCGCGGAGGGGAAAGGAAATAATACGTTTTATCAGTCTTGGCGAGATGTAAATTTGCCGCTGGTGCTGCAGCAGCAACATAACATTTTTGTAGTGTTTTGCATCATATGGGCATTCTCTGTTGCATTGTCCATGAAGTGAAATGGACATACTGCGTCGACCTTCCCTGCAATTAATCAAATTATGTTTTTTTTTTAAGTGTGATGGGTGCGAGACTTTATGTGCTTCAGAGCGTTAAAGTGGATTCAAGAAAACTTTTTTTCTTTATCAAATCTGATGAAGTGGTTACAATTCTTCAGTACTGTATAACGGATATGCTTATGATACTATTATGGCTGGAAATAGAGGATTGATAGGGAAGATCGCCCTCAAGTCGCCGGCTTCTCCGGAAGACGGAGGCTCTGATCTGATTGACTTAGTGGGCAAGGCCCTTAATATCTTTATTGCTTAGTCCTTAATACAATAGCAGGCCCCCTTTATATACTAGGTGCCAATCTAATATTTAGGAAATCTAAGACAAACTAGGAATAGGAAACATAATCCTAAACCAACTAGAATTAGATATATCTACTGATTATTCCTATTCCTATTCCTATACCTATGGTATTTGATTCCATAACGCCGGTCTATAACATTTCCCTCCTCCTCATGAAACAGCTCGTCCTCGAGCTGGAAACTGGGATAAGCTTCGCGAAAATGGTCCAGCGTTTCCCAGCTAGCCTCCTCTGGAGATGAACCTACCCATTGTATGATAACTTCTTGAATTCCTTGATTCCACCTAGCTTTGATAGCAGCAGCTGGTGCAGGGATAACCTGGCCATGAACAATGTCAGGAACCTGAACAATATCTGTTGGGGCCACACCTTCAATTTTTTTTAGTAAAGCCACATGAAAAACATTGTGAATAAGAGCTCGAGGAGGAAGCTTGAGGCGATAAGCAGCATGACCAATTCTCTCCTCAATTAAACAAGGGCCATAAAATCTTGGGGCAAGTTTAGAGTGTGCTTGGTCTGTAATACCAGCTGCCATGCGATGGTGTAACCGTAGCCATGCCTATTCACCAACCTCAAATTCAATGTCGCGATGAGATTTATCATACCAACTCTTCATATAGTCCTGAGCTTGAAGAAGTCTCTCTCGAATTTCAACCAAAAATCCATTTCGACTCCTCATCTATTTGTCCACAGCCACAACACAGGAAGACCCTGGCTGGTAAGCAGAAATAGTAGGAGGATCTCGACCATACACAACCTTGAAAGGTGTCTCACGAAGGGAAGTTTGATAGGAAGAGTTATAGCAAAACTCAGCCCATGGAAGCCACTGTAACCAATTCTTTGGATGATCTCCCGAAAGGCAACGAAGATACATAGTGATGATGCGATTAACCACCTCAGATTGACCATCAGTTTGCGGATGGAAGGCTGTGCTCATATTTAACTTTGTATTAGTGAAGCGAAATAGTTCCTTCCAAAATGTGCTAGTAAAAACTAGATCTCTATCACTCACAATAGAACAAGAAATACCGTGCAAGCGGACGATATCATCATAAAATGCCTTTGCGACTGAGAGAGCCGTGTATGGATGTCCTAAAGCAATAAAGTGGGCATACTTAGAAAAACAATCAACCACCGTCAAAATGACTGACTTCCCTCGAACACGAGGAAGACCCTCAATGAAATCCATTGAAATATCCTCCCAAACAGCAGAAGGAACTACTAAAGGTTGCAGTAAGCCTGCAGGATGTCGATGTTCAGTCTTGTTTTGTTGACATACCGAGTAGCTCTTAACATAATCCTTCACTAATGAACTGGCATGAGGATTGTAAAATGATGCACGTAGGCGATGGAGAGTCTTCTGAATTCCCTCATGTCCCATCCCGTGCGCATCAGCCAAGAGCAAGGGCCAACATGCAGAAGCTGTAGGAACATAAATCTTGCCCTCAAAGGTGACCAAACCATCCACTAAAGACCAACCTGTCGTAAGTAAACCAGCCTGAATCTGATCCCTTTTGGTAATGAGTTCTAGCAGTGTGTTGGTCTCTTGTCGCAATAAATCAAATATTTCAAAAGATGGGCCAGAAATAGCGTGTAATTCTGCTGATTCTTCACGACGAGATAAAGCATCAGCAGCTCCATTGTGTTTTCCTGGCCGGAACTCAACTTCAAAGTCATACCCGAATAACTTACTGACCCAAGTATGCTGTGGAATAGTAGACAGCCGCTGATCAAGAAGAAATTTCAAGCTATAATGATCTGTACGAATCGTAAAGGATCGTCCCCAAACATAAGGTCGCCAATGACGAACAGCTTTTACAAGTCCAATCAATTCTCTCTCATAAGCTGCAAGCTTCGCATGATGAGGAGCCACTGCACGACTAAAGAAAGCAATTGGTCCTGCTCCCTGGTGTAAAACAGCACCAAAACCCACACCAGAGGCATCACAATCAATAATAAATCGTTTAGTAAAATCCAGAAGTTGTAGCAAGGAAGCAGATACTAAGGCCTTCTTTAGCGCTAGAAAAGCACCATGGGCCTCAGAGGACCATGTGAACCCTTCCTTCTTCAGAAGCTTGGTAAGAGGAGATGCTATGGCACCATAGCCATCAATGAACTTTCGGTAGTAACCAGTGAGGCCTAAGAATCCACGAAGAGCGCGCACAGTGCGAGGTTGAGGCCACTCCGCAACAGCCTCTACCTTGCTAGGATCCATGGCCACCCCACTTGCAGAAACAATGTGTCCGAGATAAGTCACCTTTTCTTCACCAAAGAGACACTTGGATCATTTAAGCACCATTTGGTGTTCTTGTAACACCAACAAAACTGCTCTAACATGTTGAAGATGTTCTGCCCAAGAAGAACTATATATCAAAATGTCATCAAAAAATACAAGGACAAACCGTCGTAGGAAGGGAGCCAATATGTCATTCATTAAGGCCTGAAACGTTGCTGGAGCGTTAGTTAATCCAAAGGCCATCACCAAGAATTCATAATGGCCATGGTGGGTTCGGAAAGCCGTTTTTTTGACGTCATCAGGATGCATGCGAACTTGATGATAACCACTACGCAAATCCAGTTTGGTGAAGAAGCGAGCCCCTTTGAGCTCATCAAGAAGATCATCCACCACCGGAATTGGATATTTGTTCTTTATCGTTTTGCTATTAAGGGCTCGGTAATCCACACAAAAACGCCAAGTTTTATCTTGCTTCTTGACAAGTAATACTGGAGAAGAAAATTCGGAATCACTTTTCTGGATGATACCTTGGGTCAACATTGCAGCACATTGTCATTCAATCTCATCCTTCAGGAGTTGTGGATAACGGTAAGGACGAACAGCCACCGCTGCTGTGTCAGAAATCAAAGGAATACGATGATCATGACTTCTTTCTGGTGGTAGTCCACTTGGCTCATTAAAAAGATCATCAAATTCTTGCAGCAACTCAGGCAATAAGTCACGTCCAGTCAAAGCATGAGCCTGCGGCGGAAAAGAATCACCACCATGACCATGCCAAGCTACTTGATGATCGTCCCTCCAAAAAGACATGGTGAGCTTATCAAAATCCCACAAGATGGGTCCCAATGTACGGAGCCACTGAACACCCAATACCACATTATAGCCTACTAGTGGAATAACATAACAATCGGTGATGAAATCCTCCGAGTCAATTTTTATAGGAATACCTGAGCAGATGCTTGAGCTAGTGACTTGATCACCATTTGCTACCATAACGTTCAGTCCAGATTTTGTGGTAGGCGAGAGGCCAAGACGGTGTGCTGCCTCAGTAGCCACAAAAGTGTGGGTAGATCCGGAATCGACCAAAGCAGACATGGTTACACCTCCAATAATAACAGCCAAGCGCATGGTCTTGCTAGTACGGATGCCGGTCAATGCATGAAGAGAGATGGTAACGGTGTCATCATTGATACTATCATCGTCCTCCCCCTCGTCCATCTCCAAGAGGTAGATACCTTTCATAGAGCACTGACGGTGATGATCTTTAGAGAATTTCTCGGGACAATTGAAGCAAAGCCCCTTTTCACGACGCTCAGCCATCTCAGCTGCTAACAAGCGACGAAACCTTGTGCCTGTAGTACCTGGCCTTGTAGGTGATTTGGAAGCAACAATCGCAGCAGAAGAAGACGTGCTACTACCCACACGGGAAGGTGCTGGAGCAGAACGAAAAGAAAGTGCAGAACGCTGTTTATTCTCCACGATACGTGGAGCAGCGACTGCATCATCTTCCAACCGCTGCTCATAAGAGCGTGCCAAGCTCATGGCGGCCTGAAGATTAGCTGTATTTTGAAGCTCAACATCAATACTTAAAGGCTTGCCAAGGCCGGCAGTGAAAAGATTGACTTGATGCATCGGATTGAGAGATGGGGTAACACGACAAAGAAGAGCCAAAAATTGTTTTTGGTATTCTGCCACAGTCCCGGTTCGTCGAAGTGCGGACAATTCACCAAGAATATTGTTACGGATGGGAGGACCAAAGCGCATATTAACAAAGTGCTCAAAAACTGACCAGTTCACGAGTCCATTATCTTTGGAAAATTGAATATACCATTGTTGCGCCTCACCCGTCATGTGATAGGAAGCAAGCCAGACCTTCTCATCCTCAGGCGTCCGTTGGCCTTGAAAGAATTGCTCACACCGATTAAGCCAGGTCAAGTGATCTTCTTCTCCATCAAATATTGGAAAGGTTAGCTTGTGATAACGGGGAACACCACGTTTGTCATCATCCAGATTAGCACCACTGCTCCCTTTTTCCCATGAATCTTGCCGAGCCTCAAGGTTATCAAGTTTCTTCATCAAGAGAACAAGTGTCTTGGCCAAATCAGCCATGGTTGTGCTGTCTTCCGACATGGTGGAGAGCTAGGTATAGGTGGTGGCTGGGGTTGGTTGACGGTGGAACACAACAGATGTAGCGGCGGAAGTGACGCAAGCAGCGCGAATGTGAGGCGTGCTGCGTCGAGCGGAACCCAGCGACAAAGCAAGCGCTGGATGAGGGCTCTGATACCAAATATTATGGCTGGAAATAGAGGATTGATAGGGAAGATCGCCCTCAAGTCGCCGGCTTCTCCGGAAGACCGAGTCTCTGATCTGATTGACTTAGTGGGCAGGGCCCTTAATATCTTTATTGCTTAGTCCTTAATACAATACCAGGCCCCCTTTATATACTAGGTGCCAATCTAATATTTAGGAAATCTAAGACAAACTAGGAATAGGAAACAGAATCCTAAACCAACTAGAATTAGATATATCTACTGATTATTCCTATTCCTATTCCTATGGTATTTGATTCCATAACGCCAGTCTATAACAGATACAGTATGCAATCAGATTTTGTATTTGCATGAACACCTGGAGTCAAAGAATCCACAGGTTAGATGGAGAGAATTTTGTAATTTGAATTGAGTAAATTTCATCATTAGCACAAAGATGAGTCAGTTTCAAACAGTAAAACCATAAAATTTTAAGGGTGCTAATAAAAACCACAGGAAACACGATAAAAATGTTTCCGAAAATTAACAATCGACTATTTTTAATCATCAATTGATATATTATAGTACTATATATAGTTAGCAGATCCAACAAATGACAGCTGTGTTTAGTTTCACACTAAAATTGAAAGTTTGAAAAAATTAAAACGATGTGATAGAAAAGTTGAAATTTTATGTGTTGAGGAAAGTTCCGATGTGACGAAAAAGTTAAAAGTTCGAAGAAAAAAAAATTTTAAAAAAATTGTCCTGCTCTTCTCCTCTCCCCCTCCCTTGTTTGGAGAAATTTAATATGGCAACGCCGCCGTCGCCCGTCCACGCGCAGTGTCGACTTCCTCTCGGCCGCGCTAGGGACCCACGCCGCCGCCGCCGCCACGTCCGCCTTTTCCCCGCTCCGCTGCTCGCCTCCCCAGCCTCCGTCCGTGCTCCCCTAAAAGCAGGAGGCGGCCGCCGAGAAGGAGAAGGCGCCGCGAAGAGTGAGAGCGGGGGGCTAGACCTAGTGCAATCGAGCCTTCATCGGCGCCACCGCGGGCCATCGCGTGGTTAGCCGCCGGAGTCGGGGGTGGGGGGGATGCCGCGGGAGCCGGCCGCCATGCGCGTCTACACGGTCTGCGACGAGTCCAAGTGCGTGTCGCATCACAAACCCTACCTCTCCTCTCCTCTTCCAATGCATTGAATCCCTCTTGATGATTCAGGTACCTCATCGTGCGGAACGTCCCGTCTCTCGGCTGCGGCGATGACCTCGCCAATCTCTTCGCCACCTACGGCCCAGTAGACGAGTCTGTCTCTTCCTCCTCCCACCTATACCATACCACCACCTGCCTGTGTGAATGATTTGCTTGCTTATTCAGGTGCACGCCCATGGATGCCGAGGACTGTGACCCCTACACCGACGTTTTCTTCATCAAGTTCTCGCAGGTCAGCAATGCCAGGTGAGTAACCAAAATAGTACCTTTTCTTTCAGTCCTTTTTCCTGTTCAGGAAGAACCGACGTTCACAGAATGAGTGAAAAATGTTACTAGCCACCATTAATTCCAACAATTAAATTTGTGTTTGGTAGTCTTTTCTAAGACAAATTTGTCTCCTTCTCATCCCTGTTTTGAGCTCTGTGCTTAGGATTACAGCTTTAGTTTAGTTTGTTAGCAATTGGGAACAAATCTGGACCTACTATTTGCCAAATCGCAAGTTTATTTTCTCAATGAAAGCAAGAAACGGCATTAATTGCAGGTTTGCAAAGAGGAAATTGGATGAGTCTGTATTTCTTGGCAACCGGCTGCAGGTGTCATACGCCCCTCAGTTTGAGAGTCTTCTGGACACTAAGGAGAAACTGGAAGTCAGGAGAAAGGAAGTTCTTGGCCGAATGAAATGTGTGCTTCCATGTTCTTCTTTTCCCCCTAACTCTATGCTGTTTAGCCTTCGTTGTTTCAATATGTAACCGTTTTCTTTCTACGACTACACATTGCTAGTTTATCTTGCTTGGATAGTTATATATAAATGTTTGCTTTCATTTCTCCAGCATCTTCTGGAAGACCTGAAGGGTTATCTCATCATTCTCCAGGTCAGGGATCATCTGCTGCAAACTCACACCGTCAGATGAGCTCTAATAAAAGGTTAACATATTGCGTACTACTATCAGTTTTTTTTTGTGTGTGTGTGTGTGCAAACATTGCTAAGGAGAACATTGGTCATCAGTTACTCATTGATCGGCCCAGTCTTCAACTAAATTCTATCCCTGTTAACCATGCCATTTGGAATTGGAAGTTACCCTCATATCCACATCTTTATTGATATATGACATCTGGTCTGAATATTTGAAGATGGATACCCAGTCTTTATGAATAGCTTAGCAGCTAAGCTACAGTGGGTTTACCGAACAAAACTGAGATCTTTGGCACAGTAAAGTTGAAAGAAAAACCAGCAATCCTTATTCCTTAATCAAAAGACTGAGACACTTCTTCTAGCTTTGTGTTTGGTTTGCTCTTTAGATTTTATGCATCAGTTTGTATATTTCATACTCAGCACTACCATGTAGGAGTATCAACCAGGATTTGGTTTGTTCATTTTAAGGAATGAACTTCAATTATGATACAATTACATACACTCGCCTTTTATGGAATATTTTCAAACTTTATAAGTAATATTGAATGATGTGGAACTAAGATGGTAACCCAAAAGCCCATCTGGATCTTCTCTGATTAGAAGTGTAAACACTGTATATGACTTATCTAGTGAAGTTCCATTTTGCCATCTTCAGGGAATACACAAAAACACTTCATGCTTCTCAATTTGAAGATCCTCGTTTCACTCATGTATCCTCTAATAAGGTATGCAGTACAACAGTATGTATCCTCTAATAAGGTATGCGGTACTGCAAAGTAATATAATGTTTGGAATTTGGACTCTAGGTGAGAAACCAAGAGGTTATTCATTGAGAAAAAATATGGCATTAAATTAGCAGGGCATATAATGGTGTAAGCCAACTTTCTTTTCAGAAAAAGAAAAACAGAAACAGGGGAATTAATGCATTGAGTCATACATAGTACCTGGAAAGGCAAATTCTGCAATAATTTGGAATTTTGTATATCCTGCCATATTATTGAACTTAGTATTCTTACCAATTTGTGGAGAAAATACTTCTCTGTAGGATTATTTTCCATCTGAGTCGATGAATGCAACAGTAAACCTAGTCAGGGAGAAGCTTGATAAGGTAAGAGTATCTTTGTTAAGTGTATTATCATATTCACTGCAATATGTGCATTTGTGGATAAGTTAAAGGTTCCATTTTCAAAATTTCAGATACAATCCAGCAGCGACAATTCCAGTGCTATAGTTGCACCCAAGAAACCAAGGACCGATAACCGTAGACGAATTTGATATCATGGGATGGAGTAGAACATGCATTTTTTTTTCTTCATCTACTTTCTTGTAGTTTGTTTTATAATTGGCAGAAAATAGTGTACTATAATGCTAAATGCTGTCTATATTCTCCCTCAGTTGTAAAAGTATCCCCTTTTAGGTTTTCTGCGGAAGTAACGTTAGTATCATGTTTTGACGTGGATTAATGTCATGTTTGATGAGCACATTTCTCTTCGTGAAAAGTCCACCTTTCTTTTGAACAATTTATATTTGAAACATCATGTTCTGTTGGTATACTGATTTATCTCTACAGTTATGTTCTATTTGGATCTCAAATGGTTCCTATGAGGTTGTGACATCTGTGTTATGGCATGAAGAATTTCATGATGTCTGATATAGGAGAAAAAGATGACCTCTGCTGATCAGATGTACTCCCTCCGTACCACAAAAAAACCGAATCTAGGACTGGATGTGGCACATCTTAGTATGTATGTCCAGATTCATTGTACAAAGATATGTCACATCCAGTACTAGGTTTTTTATGGGACGGAGGGAGTAATAGATAGCTTACATATACTCTATTCGGTCATAAATTGTTGACGTCTCGGACAAAATTTAGCCGGAGTTTTGAAATTCCCTAACCACCCGTATCCTTTTCTTTTCCTAACTTCAAGTTCGAGTCGGATCCCGATGCCTATGTACTATGCTAAGAGCAAGTACGATAGGGATGACTCAATACTCCCTCCATCTTATAAAAGAAAAATCTAGGACTGAATGTGACACATAGTATAACGAATCTAGATAGATCTGTCCAGATTCGTTGTACTAGCATTAAGAACAAAAGATAGTGCAGTCGGCTGTAGAATTATAACCAGGCTATAGCACGTAAAAAGAGAAGATACAATAACTTGTCCGCTTCTATTAGCTATGGAGCATAGATAGTGATGGGCCTAATAAATTTGTATCAAATAACTATTGTGCATGCTAGCTACTAAAAAAACTAACTTAGACTATAGTTAGCTGTTGGCTTTATTATTGTACCTGCTCTATGTGTGGACCTTGAACATCAAACAATCAGATCTCGATAGGCTATTATACTTAAATATAGATATAATATTGAGCCGTACATTTCGATGCCTATGTATATGCTACTATCTTCGTCCCAAAATATAACAATTTCTAACTATATAGATAGAAGTTACTATAGTTTATAACATAGAGAGTATGTAAGCGTCGTTTCTCAAGGTCTAAAAACAACTGGGAAGATCAAAATGGGAAAATGAGGGAGAAATATATAGAGATGGAAGAGACGAAATGGAAAGGGGAAATGAATAATGCATAATAAAGGAAAAAAAATGACAACTGAATTTTTTTTAGTCGGACGACCTCATTGCCCAACTTCTTGTAAAAAGAAATTAATTAAATCCGGAAAGCACAAAGTAATAGAAAACCATCTCTCTCGCGATGTACAAAGTTGCTGACAACCATAAACGTGGCAACTTTCTGGTCTGGAATTCTTGCGTGGGAAAGCCGTTACCACAATATTAACAGGAATAGAAGAAAGGTGGTTACTATTAAGTCTTCGTGATAGACGTACCATGACAATATTTATATTAGGTGAATTTTCAAATAGTGGAATATAAAATGCCAGCATAAATATATCTTTACCTCTACTATTATAAAAATTAAAGATGTTTTTGCCGGTGCTTTGGTAAGTCATCCGTATATGAGTTGGTTTTTAAGTTCGTTTTATTTTGAAAATACATATCCGTATTTGAGTCAGTTTTTAGGTCCATTCGCTTTCGAAAATATAGAATGAGTTGTATAAGAAATCTCTTAAAAAAACTCGCATACTAACTTGAGGCGATCGGAATCCTAAATTCATAATTGAAGCTCATGATTTTCTAAAAAAGGGCTTGTTTGGTACAGCTCCAACTCCTAAATATAACTCCAGGAGTTGAGTCTGGAGTGGAGTTGTGGAGCTGCCAAAACCCAGCTCCTCAACTCTAGTACATTTTGTGAGAGAGCTCCACCCAACTCCACTCCCAATTTTGGTGGAACTGAAACTGATTGGCTGAGCTCCAGCTCCAGGAGGGGTGAAGCTGGAGCTAGAGCTGTGCCAAACAGACCCAAAGTATATATCCAAACAAATTTCTACAGTGAATTTTATCTTAACTAAACTGTATAACAATAATAAGATTAAAGTAACTTTCACCCGTTTGCAACGCACGGGCATTTTTAGTGGAAATAAAAGAGAAACTCAAGGAGTAAAAGAAAAAGAAAGCGAGGAAAAGAGAAAACAGGGGGAGGGAGAGGAGAGAGAGACATCAAGCAAGCTAGGAACAAGGGAAGGGAGGGGAAAAAACTGTAGGATCTCCCCCGACAACAAAAGAAGAAGAAGAGAAAAGGATGGCGATGGCGATGCGACGTCGGGTGTCGTCGTGAGCGCAGCCCTCCCTCGCGATCCACCTACCCCGCCGCCGGTAAGCCTCCACCTCCGCCATTCCTCCCCCCACCCAAACCCTAGATCCACACCCTCCTCTCCGCCCCCGAGATCTCCTCGATCCCGTCCGCGATTCCACGCCGACATGGCTGACCCCTTCGTCGCCGACGACCAGACCGACGCCGACTTCTTCGACAAGCTCGTCGACGACGACGACGACCTCTCCCCCGCCCCTGCCCCTGCCCCTGTTCCCGCCCAACAGTCGGCGGAGGCGGCCTTGCTTCCAGCTCTTTCCGACCTCAGCCTCGCCGACGATGACACAGACCCTTCCCCGGCTCCTCCTCCCGTCGAGGCCCCGCCGGAGGGTGCCTCACCGGAGTCGGGGAAGGGCGCCGTCCACACAACGGTCAAGCAGGTCCAGTGGGCCTCATTTGGAGGCGCCGCCGACGATGGGGCTGATCCGTTCAGTGATCTGTCTGGAGGCGCCGCTGATGACGGATTTCTCGGGACCATGGCCGGGAACCAGAGCTTCCAGACCTCCGTCATTGGGAGCGTGGGGGCATCAGCTCACGGGATCTTTGGCGGGAGCCAGAGCTTGACTGCCGAGGTGACAGATCAGGATTTTTTCGGTGGTACCTCCGATCAGAACACCGATACCCAGCAGCAGCAGCTGGAGCAGAGCGGAAGCAGTGCTTTCGACTCCACAGATCCCAAGTATTTGGAGAGCATTTATCCTGGGTGGAAATACGACGAGGCGACACAGCAGTGGTACCAAGTTGACAATTCTGATACGCACGGTAACGCCACCCAGGTGGACACCAGCACTGAGAATATCCAGCAGCAGCAGCTTGCCGCTTCTTACATGCATAATCCGACACAGTCATCGCTAGAGACAATTGCGGAGGAGGGTACGACGACAGGGAGTGTATCGACATGGGGACAGGGTGGCACCTCGGAGTACCCACCAAACATGGTATTTTACGCCGAGTACCCAGGCTGGTACTTTGATACCAACACACAGCAGTGGCAATCGCTTGAGTCGTACCAGCAGGCAGTGACAGCTAGTGCTGTTCAGGATGGAGCAAACAATGGTGTCGTTGCCTCTTCTGCTGAGACAAATTATAGCGTCAAACAAACCGAAGATCTTCCTGCCCACAATCAGGTGGCCCAACATAACTCTTTCTCTAATAACTATAGTTATCAGAGCCAGTGGCAGACAAATTCATTTAGTAACTCTATGCAACCTGAAAGTGCAACAGCTAGTCTGCCAGATAGTTTCCAGAGCCTTGGTCAGCATGCTATTTCTGAATCTTTCAATTCCTCTACAAATAGTCAAGTTAGTTTTAACACCGCTGAAACCGCTACAAGCCATTATGGCAACGTGAACTTAGATTCGTCAAGTACTCAGGGTGGCTACACCGCAAGTGGTGGTCAACAAACTGGTTACAAGGGCTTCGAACCTTTCACAGGTCATCAGGCTGGTTACAAGGGGTTTGAACCTTCTACAGGCCACCAGACAAGTCATAAGTTATTTGATCCATCAGCAGGTAACCAAAACAGTTACAAGCCATTTGAACCTTCCACTGGTCACCACCAGCACAAGGGGTTTGAGCCTTCCACAAATCACCAGGGTGATTACAAGGCATTTGAGCCATCCACACATAACCAGGGTGGTTACAAGGGATTCAGTCCTTCCACAGTTCAGCAGCCTGGTTACAAGGGATTTGAAGCTTCTACAGGCCTTCAAACTAATTTCAAGGGATTTGAACCTTACTCAGGTCAACAGGCTGGTTACACGGGATCCCTACCTTCTACAGGCCACCAGTCTAGTTACATGGGGTTTGAGACTTCTTCAAACCAGGGTTATGGTGATGCCAACAATGTTGCAAATAGTCAAGGCTTTGTTCCGATGGAGAGCATGTACGGAAGCCATAATCAAGCTCATACAAACCCCCAAGTGCCTTTGTCAAACAGTTATCTCAGTGTTGATAACTCCAAGAATTTCTCTCAGCAACAATTTCTTGGTCCAAATGCTTCACACTTGCAATTTGGGCAGTCCCCACATGAAGAGAGGTCATCAGCTGGACGTCCACCACATGCTTTGGTTGCTTTTGGGTTTGGAGGCAAGCTTATACTTATGAAAGAAACCAACTCAATGGCCACAAACTATGACTCTGGGAATCAGGTATGCTAAGAGTTCCTGTGTGATATATTTTTAGTCATCAAACAAAATTATGGCATATGTTAAAGTAACTAAAATATTCTATTTTAATTTTGCAATTCAAGGGGAATTCTAGTGGCACAGTATCAGTTCTTAATTTATCAGAGGTGGTCACGGACAAAGCTGATGCTTTAAGCGCCAGTAACGGTAGCGCACTTAGTTATTTCCATGCTTTATGTCGTCAACCTGTTCCCGGCCCTCTTGTTGGGGGAAGCGCTGCATCAAAGGATGTGAACAAATGGCTTGATGACATGATTGCACTGTATGAATCATCGACTAGTGAATTCCAGAGGGGTGATCCTCGCAAGTTGCTTATTTCTTTGCTGAAGATACTATGCCACCACTATGGGAAACTGCGTTCACCTTTTGCTTCTGACCCATCACATGAGGTACTTTCTGCCTTTCATGCTCTTTTTTGTTGCATCTATAGTGTATTTTACCAAAACAGAGGCTGATATAATGAATGCTCCAGTTAATCAACTCTTAGTGTTGTAATAACGGCGCAGAGGGCAAGCTTTTAATACTTTTTAATGTGATGAACATGTCTGAATTAGCAGTTTACCTTTTAGCTCATCGTGTGTGATAATTTGGGTACTTGTTTCATTGTTTGTCCTTTCACCTTTGTATCTCTGACTCATTTGAATTCTCAATAATAGGACACAGACGGTCCAGAAATGGCAGTAACTAAGCTCTTTTCATCTTGTAAGAGAAGTAGCTTTCAAATGGGCGATTTCGGATCCCATGTCCGTTGCATGAAGAATATTCCCTCTGAAAATCAGATGCAGGTGATTGCCATTTATATTATATGGATGTGAAATTTAGCTAAATCCTAAATGTCCCCAGTTGAGGCAGCTACTTTGCTTGTAGGCTGTTGCACAAGAGGTCCAAAATCTTCTAGTTTCTGGGAGAAGAAAAGAGGCCCTTCAGTGTGCCCAAGAAGGTCAACTGTGGGGGCCTGCAATTATACTTGCTTTGCAACTTGGTGATAAGGTTTGTTCGACTTAATAGCCTTCTCTTGTTTGCATTTGAATAGTTTGCTTGATTTTCAATGAGGTTTTCTTTTCCTTAATTTTTTTTATTTATCTTTTCTTTCCCCACCGGTGGTGCAGTTTTACGTCGATACTGTGAAGAAAATGGCCCACTGCCATTTTCTATCTGGGTCACCTTTGCGAACATTGTGCCTTCTCATTGCTGGACAACCTGCAGATGTTTTTAATGCAGACAACAACATCAGTAGCAATTATGGTTCTCAACAGCCTATGGAGGTAATACATAATTATTTTTCACTTTCTAGATGCGCGATACTTTGGTCGTAGGATTATTCTGTAGTTAGATGTAATAGTAATAATTGTTCTTAACTTTTCATAGCACTTGCCTGTCCCATATTGTTGTACAATAATGGCTTTTCATTTCTTTGTTACTGCAGTGTCATGGTGCTTTGGTTTTTTTTTTCTTGAAGAAAATGTTTTGCTTCATTGATAATGCATTCTACTGTTCTACCACCTCGTTGTTGGCTTTCTGTTTAAATAGTGGCTCACTTTATAATTCATTGTTTTGTCACACAGCCTAGTCCTAATGGCATGTTGGATGACTGGGAGGAGAATTTGGCTATCATAACTGCAAATAGGACAAAAGGTGACGACCTAGTTATTACCCATCTTGGAGATTGCCTTTGGAAAGAGAAAAATGAGGTCTGTATGATATGTATTTGCAGAATTAAACCCTTTCTTTTTTGTGGTCAAGTACCTTATATGCCTTTTGATACAGGTTGCAGCTGCTCATTCGTGCTATTTAGTTGCTGAGTTAAATATTGACCCTTACTCTGAAAGTGCAAGGTTATGTCTCCTTGGTGCAGACCACCTTAAGTGCCCTCGAACTTTTGCCAGCCCTGAAGCCATTCAGGTATATTACTGCTAGCCATTAACCCATTACCTGTAAATATATTGAATCTTAGTGCAATTTTCCCTCGAAGCTCTATCTTTTGCTTTTTAATGATTAGTTAATGCAAGCATACTGTCTCAGTGTTTTATAAGCAATTATTGCATAGATACATAGACTGGAAATGCAAGATTGTGTGTAACCGCTAACCTGTTGCTTCATCTTTTTTTACTCTGCTGTCCACTGTTCTGAACTAATATTTTGAAATGCGATAACAGAGGACAGAGATTTATGAATATGCGAAGGTGCTTGGTAATTCTCAATATATCCTGCTACCCTTTCAGCCATATAAGCTGATATATGCATACATGCTTGCGGAAGTGGGAAGGGTTGCTGATTCTTTGAGGTATGTTGTTGATTTGTGCATGGCCAGCAAATGATTTCAATGCTATACCTAAACTCCTGCTTTCACATTATGACCCATTTGAATCTCCTTAAAGGTACTGTCAAGCATCTATGAAGGTGCTGAAAGCCTCTGGCCGTGCCCCAGAATTGGAAGCATGGAAGCAATTATTTTCCACCCTGGAGGACAGGATACGCACTCACCAGCAGGTAAATCCTTACAGCTTGTTTTGCAATGTAGCTGAGTTCCTCCCTCTCCCTATTAATGCACTTGTGTTGATTGCTATTGTTTAGGGTGGATATGGCACAAACCTTGCCCCTGCAAAATTAGTTGGAAAGATTTTCACCTCACTCGATAAATCTATATCGCGCATGATGGGTACACCTTCTGCTCCACTTCCGCCATTGCCACAGGGTGCTGTTAGTGATAGGGAGAGTTACACTGCACCTGGGGCTACAAAGTTTGCAAATAGCCAATCAGTAATGACCATGTCATCGTTAATGCCATCTGCATCAGTGCAGTCTATGAGTGAGATGTCAGATAGTGGCAGGAAGATTGCACACAACAGAAGTGTTTCTGAACCGGACTTCGGCAGAACCCCGAAACAGGTAATTATGCCCTCGGCTGAGGTAGACACTTATAAAGACAGCAGGTTCTGATTAGTGAATGCCGAGTGATAAAATTCTAATTCTTCCGTTTGTTTGAAAAATAACAGGGTGCTGGATCGGACAGCACACAGAGTACTGCTCCAGGATCTGGTAGTTCACGCTTTGGTTGGTTAGGCTCCACACTACAGAAGACAATGGGATTTGTTTCAAAATCCCACCGGCAGGTACTTTAACTGAGCTATTGAATTGGAGCCACTCCACTTTTGTTCAGTTTCTCTTCCATATAGTAAAGCTAATACTGAGATCCTTCCTATGTCTTGAAGGCTAAATTAGGGCAACAAAACAAGTTTTACTATGACGAAAAGCTAAAGCGATGGGTGGAGGAAGGTGCTGAGATTCCTGCCGAGGAGCCTCCTCTCCCTCCACCTCCATCAAAACCCTCATTCCAGAATGGTGTGGTAGACTATAAATTAAATGGCCCCATGAGTGCAAGTCATACTCCCAATGGATTCATGGAAGGGAAATCTTCAACTTCTTCAGAGCATGGTTCGGGAATGCCACCAATTCCGCCAAGCCAGAACCAGTTTTCTGCCCGTGGACGGATGGGTGTCCGGTCCAGGTAATCTAATAATTCTGCCACTTGCTCATGTCTTTCTCTATATTCTATAAAATATTGACCAGAGGAAAGTTATGTTTATTTTTAGATATGTGGACACATTCAACAAGGGTGGAGGAGGAGGAGCAGTCCCATCCTATAACAAGCCAGCTGTTGCATCTGTGACACCACCCAGTGGTGCCAAATTCTTTGTGCCCACTGCGGCTGTTGTTGCTGCAGAGCAGATGCCTAACCAAACAGCGGAAACACATGGTGAAACCTTCCGTCCAGATGAGCGTTCATCCCCAGCTGAAACGTCATTTTCTTCACCCCCACCAGCAACACAATTTTCAGCACCACTGATGGTGCCTACCATTCAGCGGTATCCGAGCATGGATAACATCACTACCCCGAACAATGGATCCGGATTATCATCGGGAAGTAACAGCAGCTCATTCTCAAGATCACGAGCAGCATCGTGGAGTGGAACTTACTCTGAACAAATTAATGCTGTGGCAGGTGCTAGATCTCCTGACCAGCAGACCATGCCATCGCCCCTCATGCCTGGGAAGCAGTCACATAGTCGTTCCAACAGCAACTCATCTGTTCAGTTCAACAGTTTGACAGAGGATCTTCATGAGGTTGAGCTCTGATATGCTGCGACTGCTCAGTATGACCCATGATTTTATAGAAACAACCTGGGTAAAATACCTTGATCCTCTCAGCAAACCCCCTAGAGGAGGGAGGGAGGGAGGGAGGGAAAAAGAGAGGAAATGTTTTACAGTAAATGAAGGGAATGCCACAAGTGAAATGGATATCTCCTGTCTTGCACAAAGTTGTGGGATGGGGAAGTAAAGCAAGGTGTGCCCGCCCTGTACTCGTACAAACAGTTGTTTTTTTGGGAGATTTTGTAGGTATTGTTGGTTATTATGGGTTTAGAGAAGGGGATAAAGAGTCGGATGTCCTTTTTTACATGTGAGAAGCAGAGAGCATGTGGACACCATTGTACAGATAATCCACCCCAGCCCAGCCCCAGCCCTGCCCCCATATTATAATTCATTGAAGACGCAGAGAATTGGGAATTCATCCGCCCCACATCCTTTTTTGTCATTGTATTATTATCATTTTTTTTCTTCATAATTTTGGAGAAGGATAGAAGAGAGGGAGAGGTCAAGATGTGTCTGGATATTCTAGTGTAAGAAAGAAGAAAGCTTTTGACTGCGTAGAGTGTTGTTATACTTACTGTAATGTTCCTATACCATGATGATGATAATATTATTCTTTGGAGTCGACCGATGGATCAATCAATACTGGAGTAAGTAGCATCCTTTTTGTTTTGTTTCCCAGCATGCGTGATGAAAGAGGTCAATATCATGTGGTGGTTTGGTTTGATGTGATTCATCTGGTAGTTTAATTTGTGCTGTGTGTTGGTAACCAAAGGCTCTCTCTAAAACCGGAGAGGAAGAATAGATCACTATTTCCTTCATTCCAAAGAAAATCTATAACAGAAATTGAGGGCAAAGAATCTGGATAATTGTTTTAAGTTTTTTTAATTGGTTATTCTAAGATACTTCCTCCGTCCCAATATATTGCAACCTAGGATAGAATATGATGCCCAGGTTCATATAGGTTCATAGTATTAGGATGGGTCAATCCCATCTTAGTTGCAATATATTCTAGGTTGAGTTTTTAGGATGTAGGGAGTAGGCTACTAGAGTAGAGAGATTGGTAGGAATCACCAAAAGTTGAGGGCATTTTTTTATTTATTTTCACTAAAATATTTAAAAAATAATCTTTTGTTTCAAAAATTTATAGATCTGGATGCCTCATGCCATTTGGGAGTGTAAACGGGCTTTAAAAAAACATCAAACATTCTGTTAGAGAATGATGTGGCATATAACTGTTGGTTACTCCTTTCCCGCCCTCCCAGAGGGTTTTTTTTTATAGGAGGAGGACGCTTGTAAATCTGCTTGATAAGATAGAAAAATCTAGGCCACCCTTATACCAGTATTTTGGGGGTTTTTTTTATAGGAGGAGGACACTTGTAAATCTGCTTGATAAGATAGAAAAATCTAGACCACCCTTATACCAGTATTTTGCGGGTAGCCTTTCCTCAGTAAAAATAATAATATATTTTCAAAGGGCAAAAGGGCTCCGTCTGACATGAACACCCTCTTTTTTAGGCTGCTATTAGACGGAGCCAACAGTCATCTGCCAGATAAAAAAAAAAGTCCTCTCAAAGTGCATGAGGCGTCTAGATCTGTAAATTTACAAAACGAATTTTTAAAATATTAAATGAAAGAAATTAAAAATTAGAAAAAAAATGGTGAGGTGAGGAGGTAGGCAAGTCAAGTCGAAAAACATGATGATGACGACTGCTAATTCGGCCCAACAAGTAGTCCCCTCCCCTCCCTCGACGAGAGAAGACAAGACAAGTCGCGACCTGACGACCCGACCTTCCTCTTCTCTCCCGCTGCCCTCCGCCGCCGACCCGCAGGGGATCGTGGGGACGATCGATCGAGGAGGAGAGACCCAAACCCTAGCCACCCAGGCGCCACTCCCATTGCCCCCTTCGCCAGCCAGCCATGTCTGCGGCGCACCTCCTCCGCCACTCCCGCAAGGTTCCTTCCTCTCCCTCTCCCCTCTCCTCCATCTCTTGTTTAATTCTCCGCAGCATTCTCTCATCCCAACACCGAACGCATCTTGTTCCGATCTGTCGTGCTTATGCCATTCCAGGTCGATCGGAACATCACCAGATTCCCTTCAGATTCCCAATCTAATATTCCTACTGCAGATGGCTCACATTCCAATCTACGGCTCTCACTTTTGTACTGCAGCTGCGGACTCTACGTGATGCTCTAGATTATGATCGGTCTGCTCTTGTACGCTACTTCTCCGCTGCTTCTGCATCCTTTCCCACAAAGGGAGGTGCTGCTGCTGGTATGTGCTGTACTAGTAGCCTTTTTCTCTTTTTCTCAATTGATTTACTGGAGTATATGCATGCAATCTGTTTGTTTGTTTGTTTGTTTGTTCAACCAATCTGGAGATGCCCTTTCACATTACTAATTTTCTGTGCTCATTATTTATTTCTCTTGTTTAATTGTATCTTCTGTTTGTAATCTATGTAATTCTGCTGCGGCTGTGGTCACTGCTTATAAGTCCTGCATTGTCATCATCGTTCAAACTGATGTGGTGCTTTGCACTCTCACTTCAATTTAATCAGAATACAACTTTTGTATCTTGTATCAGTTATCCTGGATCCTCCAGAGGTGCTTCTTCTTTTGCACCTACATATTATCAGTTTCACAAGAATATGGGGCATTCATCAATTATGTATTCTGGACTGTAATCTAATTAATATAGGCAAATTATCAATTGTTTACACTAAAATCTGTACAAACAAACTATTTTAACACAAGCACAATGCTTTCTCATCTTTTTTACCTCTCCACTCCGTTATTTTCCGTACCTTCGACCAAACATGTTTTGGCTTCCTGAGCCAATATCATCATTTTTATTTATTAAGGTGTCATTTGCCGTTGACTTAGTTTAACTACGCTCATATCCTCCAGTGCAGACAGCAGCTATTTTTGTCACGTGGCAGCTTATTTTTACAGAGAGAAGTTTCTGTTGTTCATTGTCACCCGTGCTTTTGGTTTCTGCAGGTGTTGAGAAAAGAATTGGTGGCGCCAGATTCCCTCAGTGCAAGCAGCCTGGGAAAGAGCTTGAGACCTTCAAGGTTATGTTCATGAAAAATAATCCGCATTCTGAGATCCCTATTGTCATATCCTGATTGTCTAGTTTGTCATTTTATCTTTTCAGGTGTCACTAGGAGGACTAAATGGAAGATATGCTTGTAGAAGAGCACCTAACAATTGTATCCCAACCACTATTACCGGTCTCAACGGTTCATTGTCATGGTATGTTTTGTTTTCTGCTATGCTATTGTTAGCTTATATGGCTGTGTAGGAATATATTGAATTAGAGAACCACCCTTGAAACAAGAGAATATGAACTAGTAATACTTGAACATTGAGCTAAGACAAACCATAAAAAAATTATTGACATCTTCTGTAAGGCCCCTGAGATATGCCTCTCTGCTCTTTAGTGCTCTTTTACCAGAAGAAATGACCCCATGACAGTTCTAATTTCCATTGCATCTTGGTAATATTCCTCTTTTCCTGTTTCTTTTCCCAGTGGACAGGTGTCTTCAGCAAGATCTTTCTCAAGCAGTGCAGGTACTTATCCCAGCAGTTAGTTAGTCTTAAGTGGGTTTATTGGTTGGGCCTCACTTATGTGTGATGCTTTTTGGGAAGTGTTCTTGGTGGGAGGGGTTCCTTGACCCTTTCTTTATAAATATTTCTCTCTTCTTAATGAAATGAAGCGCAGTTCTCCTGCGTTTTTTGGGGGAAAAAAACAGGATATCGCATAGCAGCTCCTCAGTTTTTTATTGATCTTTTTTGCACTTATCTACAATGTTGTTTTTTTGCCATCCTTCTTTTTGTTCTATTATTTGCTTCACTTTATCCCGTCTTCCCATGTACCAATTGTTTCATGCATGTGATCCTCTATTCTGCTACTTTTTTTTGGATATTTTTCTCCACATCTGTATCTCCGTTGAATTTTCAAAACTTTTTTTTTGTATGTGTTATATAAGCATTTAGGTTATTTGCTACAAAATAAGTATATCCCAATCTCACACCACATCTCCCCATTGTTTTGGTTACTATGTTAAAATTTTCTATGTAACTCCAATCAATGGTTCCTTACAGAGCATGTAAAGTAAGGTCCTCTGTTAGCTCTCTTAATTCTTGACGCAATTTGCTTATTCCAGACCTGCCACCACATCAGGAAATTGGGATGCCATCACTCTCTCCTACAATGACTGAGGTATCTGTTACGCAAAAAAAAAAAAAAAAAAAAAAAAAAAAAACCGTTGCTCCTTATCTGTATTTCTTGAATTGCATCCATCGGTGTTACACCTTTAACACCAGAAGTATTACACCTTACACTTGTATTGTCTGTAGGGGAACATTGCAAGGTGGCTGAAGAAGGAAGGAGATAAGGTCTCACCTGGTGAAGTTCTCTGTGAGGTGGAGACGGTAAGTTTTCTAATATGTAAGGCTACATGCCATATATTGTTTAGATTTATTTTTAGTTATGCAGTTAGCCAGTTACTTCTATTAAGCTGCAGTAGAAGCTAAATATCCTTTGAATGCATTCCTGCTGACTAGGATAAAGCCACTGTAGAGATGGAGTGCATGGAAGAGGGCTATCTCGCTAAGATCATTCATGGAGATGGTGCCAAAGAGATCAAAGTTGGTGAGGTAAAAATTTACTGATCAAAGAACAACCAATTTATGACTCTCATTTTACTAATATGATTATTACAGTTGCCTCTGCCTATAAATTTTTCTGACGTAATCTTGGTTGATTTATGGCCCCACTGTTCCTTTTAGATCATTGCTGTAACTGTGGAAGAAGAGGGTGACCTTGAGAAGTTTAAGGATTATAAACCTTCAACTTCAGCTGCACCTGCAGCCCCTTCTGAACCGAAGGCTCAGCCTGAGCCTGCAGAGCCAAAGGTGAAGGAGACAGAGCCTTCCAGGACTCCTGAGCCGAAAGCCCCAAAGACTGAAGAAGCTTCTCAACCAGGGGGTCGAATATTCTCCAGCCCTCTTGCAAGAAAATTGGCAGAAGATAACAATGTAGTTTTTTTTTCGTGTTACCTATCTAGGCTATTAATTGGTAGATTTTATTGAATCATACTTAATAAACACAAAACAGGTTCCACTGTCAAGCGTAATGGGAACTGGTCCTGATGGGCGAATTTTGAAGGCGGACATTGAAGATTACTTGGGTATGCCCTTTCTCTTGTCCCCTCCACCCCCCTTCTCTCTCTCTTTCTCCTCCCTTAATGATGAAATCTGCGTGGAAAAATGCAATTAACTAGTTTTATATATTTACCAATGACTATAGATTAATTTATTTTCAACTATATCACTTCCTAGTTTTTTTAGAGAAACCGCTGGGGAAGCCCTCATTTTGTAGCTAGTCATGTGTGCTCCTGGACATCTCATGCTAATTCTGAATGGTGGACTCATAATGTCGAATTTTATTGGGGTGTCCTCCCCTTGCCAGCTGTCTTCTTGTTCAATCTTTAAGGCTCAATCACAAGAAAACAAGCTGTATCACTCAATATCTTTGTGGTTGGCTATCATATCCATTCTAAGATAACCATATTCAGATACTATTTGATCACTTAATTCAATATCCACTGGACCAGTATATCAAGTTTTCAGAAGAAAAAAGAGGCTATTTATCTGACTCAGTTTTGCACTTATGCTTATTTGTGTACACTGTGTTAGTAGCAGCACTAGTTTGATTCAAAGTAATATTAATGTAATTTGCTTGAGCTTGCCAAGGTTCAAGTTAAATGTGTGGCTGTCACTAGCCTGTTATGTATGTCAGATTTGCTGTGCTTTTATTCTGTATGAGAATTCAATCAGCATCTAACTATCATTTTTTATTAACAAAGCTTCTGTAGCAAAGGGTGGCAAAAGGGAAGCTCTTGCGGCTCCAGGGTTAAGTTACACTGATGTTCCTAATACTCAGATAAGAAAGGTAAATTTCAATGATACAGAATCTTGTTAGGTTGATTTTAGCCGATGCTATTGGTCTGATAGTGTATTATCTTCTATTCTTCACAGGTTACTGCAAACCGCCTGCTAAGCTCTAAACAAACTATTCCTCATTATTACTTGACAGTTGACGCCCGTGTTGATAATCTTATCAAGTATGTTGAAGCCTAGCTTTGTAATTTAAAGCAATCCTATATTACATAGGAAACCTATGTAATGATTCAATTCCATACTGCTGGTTTTGTAGCTTTTTAAAATAGTTCTTTATTTCAATCTAATCCAGGTTGCGAGGGGAACTGAATCCGTTGCAAGAGTCATCTGGCGGTAAGAAGATATCTATTAACGATCTTGTTATAAAGGTAATTGCCGTTTTCTTGTTTCTTATGTCTACCAACCATTGAGTTGTCGCAGATTGGGTGTATGATGTATATCAGTTCACAGACTGTTAATTTTCTCCTGACCTCCAGATCTGAATTGATCTTAATTTGATGTGCAGGCTGCAGCTCTGGCTCTTCGAAAGGTCCCTCAGTGTAATAGCTCGTGGATGAGTGATTTTATCCGCCAGTAAGTTGTCATGGAGCATGTATCCTGGGATTAGAATTATGTTGACAAGAAGGTGATTATGGTAAATTTATTTCTCGTGCAGATACCACAACGTGAACATCAATGTTGCTGTACAGACTGAGCATGGGTTGTTTGTTCCAGTAATTAGGGTTAGTAATCTGAACTTGTCTATTTATATGAAAAAAAAAAAACATTGGTTTCTAGCTTGTACCTGTGTTTCAGGATGCAGACAAGAAGGGACTTGGTACAATTGCTGAGGAGGTGAAGCAGGTGGCTCAAAGAGCAAGGGATAACAGCTTAAAACCTGAAGATTATGAGGTATATGGATCGCATGGTAGCTAATATAAGCATGAGACAACATCATTTTTCCTTGAAAATTCTGGTGCTTTTCAGGGAGGCACATTCACCATATCAAACCTAGGAGGTCCTTTCGGAATCAAACAATTCTGTGCCATCATAAATCCTCCTCAGTCAGCAATCTTGGCCATTGGTACTGGTAAGTCATGCTAATATGTTTGTGTAATAATAACGGTAGCATCCTGTATTATCTGCATTTCTTTCTAGTATCTTTTGAGAAGCATATTATCTTTGTTGCCCCATCCTATTATTTTTAAGTCGGGCTTCTACTCAGAAATTTGGCATGATGTTACAGAGTGCCAACTGCTTAGTAGCATTTAGCCTTTTATAAACAGGGCTTAAGCATAGAATTCAAGGTGTAGTAGAGTAGTATCCTTTCGCTTCTGTATTCTACGTTTCTACATTCTAGATAAACTTCTGCTAAGAAGGTCCATTCACGTTGCAGTGTTCTTGTGATGATTACATAGGGTGTCATTATTTACTTAATGGCCTTTTTTTTGTTTGGACAGCTGAGAAGAGGGTGATACCTGGCAGCGTAGACGGCCAGTATGAGTTTGGTTCCTTCATGTCGGCAACAATGAGCTGTGATCACAGGGTTATTGATGGTATACTCTTAAGCCTTATCTGAATACATGATAGTTCTACGGACCATAGGCTAGAAAATAACTTTGTTCATGTGTGCTTTCTCTAGGTGCTATCGGCGCAGAATTTCTGAAAGCATTCAAGGGCTATATCGAGAATCCAAACTCAATGTTACTGTGAAGTTAAAGATCAGCAAAACTATTCTTCTCATGTGCTCGAATAACGCAGAGTGGTGCTATCTCATTTTGTATAATACCGGCACGGTGTTCTGTCAAGGAGGACCCGAAAACCAAGAGCACATAACCATAGACAGAATGACCTGGTTTTTGGATTAAAAGCTTTTTCTGTTTATCTTTTTTTTTTTTGTTTGTTTGTTTCGTTCCAGTTATAGTGGGAATTAGGAGGATCAACTTACAAGCATTTTTAGCACCTTTTTGTGGGTTTACCCTCGGCAAGTGTGATAACTGGAGAGAGTAAATTCCCGGGAAACAATGCAGTATAGCCTGTATACGATTTGTCCCTTTTCTTTTTCCCCTTCATAGTGCAAAACCAAGAGGCGCAGAAGGATCTTTCGGAATAAATTGGCAATCTTGGGGAGTATGGCTTATACTGTTTCTTAAGCTTTTGTGTAGAGAAGTAGATTATTGGTCATAATAAATCATGCATTTGCTTATTTCACATACATGTTTGATGTGCTGGTTTAATTTTGGGCCTTTAATGGAGTACAATAAAACAAAAGGAAGCTTGTTAAGAAAGAATATGCCTGTGTGTTCTTCTCCTCCAAGTCACTGATTTTCTTTTTTGGCTGCCCATGGGAAGTTTGATCGTGTATTGTCTGCTTGGTCGGTGCATTGTTATTTTCTTCCACGTGAGTTGGCACAAGTGCGTCTCATATTTCTTGACCTACTCCTATGTGCGTTGATTGGTTGTCATTCTTTGAAGCTGCAGGACCGAGAAGGTAAGACGAATCTTGTCCCTCGCAGTATGCATTTCAGCGTTCTTATGGAAGAAGCTTCTAATCAAAAGGAAATGAATCGCTCTAGTAATCCCAAATCCAACACGCAATTCTGAACGTCAAATGGAACGGAATGCTAGAAAGCGAAGGGAGACTAGAAGGTCAAAAACTTGGAAAAAGGAGGAGATGAAAAATGGAACCGATTTCATAAGGAGCTGAGCTTTTCATAGCTCCGCTTTTGATAATTTCGATAGCATAGCATAATTATCCTCCAAGAAACGCCGGAAGCAAGAGCAAAACCAGCAAACGGCCACCGGTTCCAGGACAGGGTTGCTTCCGGGAAAGATGCATGATGCACAGTTTTCCATCAACATCCGTACCAAATTAAGTGTTTCTTTGACAGCGTGCCAGATTTGGATCGGTCATTCGTTGCGGAAAGTAGTACCAATGACTTACTGCTACTATTAATCTACTACTGTTTCGCTTAAGTATAGGTAAAGGAAATGTAACCCTATTTCGAGAAAATATATTAGTGGTAGATAGGATAGCTAGGAGATCCAAAGAGCAGAATGGTATACTGCATTAGATATATCCAATGTGCCACGATGAGTGGTTTTTCTTTATCTGTTTGTACTAATTTGCGCACTTTTGACCGATAAGCGGGCCGGCATCTTTTTAAATAGAGAAACACGCGATATGATGATAGGCAGTGAGATTTCTTCACAAATACTGTACAGAACAGTAGAGCAGTAGTAGTAGGGCACAAATTGATGGAATCAACTTAGCAACCTTTGTAGACCGTCGTCAATTTTACAAGGGAGAGATATAGTAGAATGCGGGTACAACAGTTCATGCTGTGTTGAGTTATATATTGTTTTTGGGTTTGTGATTAAACAGTGTAACAACACGGAAAGGTTCAAGACGAGCAAACACGTCAGCATGTACAAACGCAGTGTATGAGTTAATTAATTATATGGTTAGCGTGTATCGACATTCTCGATACCAGTTTAAAATATGTGATGATATTATTAGACCTTGCACCCCTATAAATTAGGGCCGGTGAACAAAACCATCAACGCCTTAGTTTTTGATTTTGAAGAAGAAATTGTTGTCAGCATCATTAGATCTTGTGTGAGTATATTTGAGAGTCAAATCAGCATGAGCGGTTTGGAAAACCGCCGTCTGTAGTGTAGCGGTTTTGTCTCCAGAGCGACCTCTTCTCTATAAAGAGGAGGAGAACTTCCATGGAATGAGCCACAAAACCACCATCGATCATTTCCATTTCCATTTTCAGGAGAGATCCACATCGCCGTTGGCCTTTCATCCAGTGAGTGAGGGAGGGAGATCTCGATCTCGGTCTCGCGACATGAAGAAGGCTTCGTCTCTGTCGGAGCTGGGGTTCGACGCGGAGGGCGCGTCGTCGGGGTTCTTCCGTCCGGTGGCGGACGGCGGGTCGACGCCGACGTCGCACCGGCGTCGGCTGACGAAGATATCGGTGATCGGCGCGGGCAACGTGGGGATGGCGATCGCGCAGACCATCCTGACCCGGGACATGGCGGACGAGATCGCGCTGGTGGACGCGGTGCCGGACAAGCTGCGCGGGGAGATGCTGGACCTGCAGCACGCGGCGGCGTTCCTCCCCCGCGTCCGCCTCGTCTCCGACACCGACCTGGCCGTCACGCGCGGCTCCGACCTGGCCATCGTCACGGCCGGCGCGCGCCAGATCCCCGGGGAGAGCCGCCTGAACCTGCTGCAGCGGAACGTGGCGCTGTTCCGGAAGATCGTGCCGGCGCTGGCGGAGCACTCGCCGGAGGCGCTGCTGCTGATCGTCTCCAACCCCGTCGACGTGCTGACGTACGTGGCGTGGAAGCTGTCGGGGTTCCCGGCGAGCCGCGTCATCGGCTCCGGCACCAACCTCGACTCCTCCAGGTTCCGCTTCCTCCTCGCCGAGCACCTCCAGGTCAACGCCCAGGATGTCCAGGTCAACACCTTACCCCTCTCTCTCTCTCCTCCACTGCCATTGCCATTGCCCATTGTCCATTGGCCATTGTTGCTGTCTCTCTCTCTCTCTCTGCGACAAAGTGACATGTGGTGTGGGGCCTAGCTAAAGCATATGGTTGGCTGAGTGGTGGTGTCACTGCCCACCCACATGTGATGACATGGCAGCCTTTAGCCTTTATCCTATTTCCATGGATGACTAGCTTCCTGCACACATGTGACAAGAGCGAACACATGCTTCTGACAACTTGATAAAAGCCCAAAGATGCTTAGTTAGTGCTGATATGATATTATTAAGATTCAACTGAATAGAATCGAATGCCTTGGGTTGATGCTCCTAGCTACTACTATATGTGGAATAATACAACTTAGGATCCGCATACGGGAGAACGTTTTGGCTAAAATTTCCAACAAGACAAAGTTATTATCATTTGACTAATCGAATATTAGTAACTACAAATTTTAAAATTAGTTTTTTATATATAAAATCAAATTGCGCGCCTAGCATCATTATATTTTCTATCATATAATAGCATATATGTTTTCTCACTATATTATTCAAATATATTAAAATGACAACATAATTTTAAATTTTGCAATATGTGTAATATTCATATTATATTTTATATACATGTTAGTTATTAATTATTTTTAATATCAAATTTTAGTTATTTATAAATTGTATATATTCCTATATGGACTCTAGACTCGTCTTTTAATATTTCCTTTTTTTAATTCCGAATTTTCTGTAAATTGTATTTCTATATAGACTCTATGCTCTTCTTCCAATATTATTTATTTTTATTTCTGAATTTTCATATTATATTTTATATACTTGTTAGTTATTAATATCAAATTTTAGTTATTTGTAAATTATATATATTCCTATATGGACTCTAGACTCGTCTTTTAATATTTCTTTTTTAAATTCCGAACTTTTTGTAAATTGTATTTCTATATAGACTATGCTTTTTTTTTCAATATTATTTATTTTTATTTCTGAATTTTTATTATTTCTAATTGTATTTCTATGTGGACTCTAAACTCATCTTTCAATATTCTTCAATTTTTAATTTCGAATTTCAGTTACTAATAAATTGTATTCTTATATTGACCTTAAACTCTTCTTCCCATATTTTTCTTAATTTCGAATTTTAGTTATTTGTAAATTGTATTTTTTATACAGACTCTAGACTCTACTTTTAATTTTATTATGTTTATTCCAAATTTTAGTTAGTTTTAAATTCCTATATGGACTCTATACTCTACTTCTAGTATTTCTTTTTTAAATTCCGAATTTCTATTTTTTTTCTTAATTGTATTTCTATATGGACTCTATCCTCTACTTCTAATATTCCTTATTTTTAATTTCAAATTTCTATTATTTCATAATTGTATTTCTATATGGACTCTATACTCTACTTCTAATATTTCTTGTTTTTAATTCCGAATTTCAGTTATTTCCTAATTGTATTTCTATATGGACTCTATACTCTACTTCTAATATTCCTTATTTTTAATTCCGAATTTCAGTTATTTTCTAATTGTATTTCTATATGGACTCTAGTCTCTTCTTCTAATATTCCTTATTTTTTAATTCCGAATTTCAGTTATTTCCTAATTGTATTTCTATATGGACTCTAGTCTCCTCTTCTAATATTCCTTATTTTTTAATTCCGAATTTCAGCTATTTCTAAATTGTATTTCTATATGGACTCTGCTTTTTCTTTTTCTCCGATTAATGTGAGAATTTCTAAGCCATGAGAGCGAATGTGGAAGCTCCTTTTTCTATTCCTTTAATTATATAATAGATAATTTGTATATAGGAAACTTTTGCATCAAATACACCATTTACTAGCTAAAAATGAGTTGGTCCCTCTTTAAGAAACGAAACGCAGCTCCAGCATTAAACAAATGGAGAGAATAAATCTTAGAATGACTATCAGAAAGAACAGTCTAATCTATTATGATGTAATACGGCATTTTTATTATTGAACCAACCAGAGAGAAAGATGTGAAGGTGCATCAGTAGTGATTAACACTGAATAGTTACGGGGGGAAAAAGTCCATTTTAAATTGGGCCTAACATTTCATCGCTCCACGATTAATTAAATAGTGGTGATATTAGGGTTCTATTGAACAATTAATCATAGTGCTAATTACTATTGACTAGACATTATTAGTGACATGTTAGTTGAGGAAATTGACAAAATAATGAATGAAAAATAAAAAAATGCAGGCGTACATGGTGGGAGAGCACGGGGACAGCTCGGTGGCGATATGGTCGAGCATGAGCGTGGCCGGGATGCCGGTGCTCAAGTCGCTGCGGGAGAGCCACCAGAGCTTCGACGAGGAGGCCCTGGAGGGAATCCGGCGAGCGGTGGTGGACAGCGCGTACGAGGTGATCAGCCTCAAGGGCTACACCTCCTGGGCCATCGGCTACTCCGTCGCCAGCCTCGCCGCCTCCCTCCTCCGCGACCAGCACCGCATCCACCCCGTCTCCGTCCTCGCCTCCGGCTTCCACGGCATCCCCCAAGACCACGAGGTCTTCCTCAGCCTCCCCGCCCGCCTCGGCCGCGCCGGCGTCCTCGGCGTCGCCGAGATGGAGCTCACCGAGGAGGAGGCCCGCCGCCTCCGCCGCTCCGCCAAGACGCTCTGGGAGAACTGCCAGCTGCTCGACCTCTAATAAATCTTATTATTATCATCGTCGTCGTCGTCTCGTCACGGAATTAATTAAAGTACCTACTCCGTACTTAGCTAGCTACAATAATAAGGATTCATTGATCACTACAAGAGTGATCGACTCGACTGTAGTATGTGTGTGCAATATAATGTGCTGTCTATCAACAACTACTAGTATTGTCATTTTTTTCGAACCAGGGAACTTTTTAATGATAAGAAGAAAAAGACAAGTACTTATTGTCGAGCACTCGTGGACAACACTGTGATTGATTGCCTTGATCAATCTTACCAATTTTTGGTAGCTGTAAATAATTTACATAGTTTGTTGGGGCGGATGAGCAAGCAAGCAAGCTGAATGGGCTGTTGATCCGGACGAACGAGCCGCGCATTCCTTGCTTAATTAATGGGCTGTCAGTGGGCGAACGAACTTGGTGGGGCGGACGTCAATCTTTTGGCCCAAAATTTCATGACAAGTGCAGTGCGGTGGAAGGAAAGGAGTTGGGCCAGGCCGGTAGGATTATTTATGATGGGCTGGGCCGGAAAAGGCAGCGATGATATAGAGCGGGCTGGGCCTCCCAATGGCTAGCAACTCTTCATAGGAGAAGAATCGTGCAACAATACACGCCCAAGAGAAGAAACCGCGGCATGGAAGGAACAAATCGTGGTGCGCTCTCTGCGTCTGCGTGTGCGCATGGCATCGTGCAGTCCACAGGACAGGAGACGGCGGATCGCAAGACATCCGCGCCGCATCGGGATTCCATCCTTTCCCTCATGTATACTATCTCCGTTCCAAAATAAGTGTAGCCATAAATATCCGTGTTTAGCAGTTTAACCATCCGTCTTATTTAAAAAATATTAAAAAAATTAGTCATACATAAAGTACTATTTATATTTTATCATCTAATAACAACAAAAATACTAATCATAAACTTTTTTCAAATAAGACGAACGGTGAAACGTTAAACATGAATAAAGCTAAAACAGTACTTATTTTAGAACGGAGGGATCAGTACTCTGCGTGAGTGCTCGTGGCGTGCTGGTTGGAAACGACCATTGACTGATTACGTGCTACACGTGGCAGACAGACATGTGGGCCCTCCCCACTCCCTTCCATGCTTCAGCTTCACACGATCGATCGATCGATGGAGATGCGGCGATAGTTGCGCTCCTCCTCATTCACAGTCCACACTGCCATCAGCCATGGGGGGCAGCCACCACCTCTTCCGCTTCCTCGCCGCCGACGACCACCCTTTCTTCCCCACCTTCCCAACCTCCTCCTCCTCCTTCCTCCTCGACGACACCCACCCATTTTTCTTCCCTCCCTCCTCCTCATGCCCACTCGGTTTCACCTCTCCTCCTTCATCGTCTTGCCCACTCGGCTTCACCTCCTCCTACGACCTCGACGCCGCCTTCCACCACCATCTCGACCTCGACCTCGACCTTGACCTCTTCCTCCCAACCCCGACCCCACCTGTAACCACCTCCTGCCCCGCCCTCCGCGATCCCTTCCTTCTCCACCACTCCCTCGCCCACCGCGTCTCCGCGCTTGAGCTCGCCGCCCCACGCAGCAAGTACACCTACGAGGCCGAATCCGCCGGCAGGAAGATCAAGTGGACCACCCACGACAAGCCCGACGGCGACCGGACCTTCAAGTGGGAGGCCCAGATCGACACCCCCAACGACGATGGCTTCGACCGCAAGTGGAAGTGGGAGTCCAAGGCCTCCGCCGCCGGCACCACCAAGCTCAAGTGGGCCAAGGAGGTCAAGGGCAAGGGCTTCCTCCACCCATGGTCGCACGCCTACTCCGTCGAGGAGGTCTTCGGGGACGACGACCACCACCACAAGGCAGACAAGACAGCAGAAAACAAGGTCAAGCAGCACAACAAGGATACTTCTGCCAAGGAGGAGAAGAAGAAGACGAACAAGTCTAATGTTCAGATCGTTGAGATCGACGACAACACTGCCGGATGCGTCGCCATCAACAAGGTCACATCTTCTCCTCTACATTTATTTCATTATTTATTTATTCAATTGGACTTGGTCCTAGATTTTTCCTATTCAGAGTTTCAGATCTAGGAGTAGCAGCTTGTTATCTCAAGCTTGCGACGTGAGGTTTGCGCACCGATTTGCACAAATCCGTCATGTTTCTGATATGCAAAGATCTAATATACGGAGTACTTAACTACTACTCCCTCCGTCGTTTTGACTTTAAGATTATGGACAAACATAATAATATTTACAGTACTAAGTTAGTTCCATCAAACCAATAATTAAATATATTTTCATAATAATTTTGTTTTGGGTTAAAAATGTTACTACCTTTTTCTATAAACTTGATCAAATTTAAATAGTTTGACTTTTACCAAAGTCAAAACAACTTATAAACTGAAACGGAGGTGTATTTCCGATGGCATTTTGTAAGGGAAGCCATACCCATAAATGTGATTAGCAATTGCTAGTAACAGATAGTAGATCGTCAATTTTCGTGTGCGCTGTACTGACAACACAACACTGGTTTTCTCAAGGCGTTTGCAAGCAGCTACGCCAAGGGCAAGAGAAAGCAGCTGTCCCCGCAGGATGCTGCATTGTTGATCCAGATGAACTACCGGGCTCACCTAGCCCACCGCTCGCAAGTGCTGCGCTGCCTCCGTCATCTGGCGGTGGCCAAGGCCAAGCTCAAGGACATTAGGTCCTTGTTCTACAACATCTCTTACCGCCGCCGCATTTCGCATGACTCTGAAGAGCGTCAGAGGTTTGCCGACAAAATCATTGCCCTGCTCGCCACTGTTGATGCCCTTGAGGTATTAAGCTCATCACCCTTTCTGATCATGCCGTTTTTCATTAACAAGTGGCCCCCATCAAAATTTTGCATTCCAGACAATTTCTTCTTGTTATATAGTTATTTTTATTTATTACTATGGGTGACGATTGGTAACCATGCCAATGCATGTGTTGTTATTTACGCGTTTATCAGCAATGTTGTTTACTACCAAACGTTATTTGATTGATGAAATCATCAGTGTAGACATGACAGTAAACCACACCCAATTTTCTTCCGATAGTCTAGTTTAGGGTCCTGACTGAATTTATGGATATCAATACCTGCAACAACATGGCTCTCATACAGTACTTCCATGTAAGATAATCTAGGTGTAAGTGAAGAAGGATGAAAACACCAGAAAAATATTTTCTAGCTTTCTTCTTCCCCCAATTCTTCATCAGAATAAACTCTAAACAATAACACATTTGTTGATAGCTACGTGAGGGTAGTTTCTTAAAAAGAAAAGAAAAAGCATCTAACAGCCATAAAAAAACAAAGAATACTGTACATATATATTGTTTTATCATGGGCTCTATAAATTGGAAGATTAAGTGCCATGAAATGCTTTGATCTTTTGCCATGTGTGAATGTTTTGTGCTTACAGGGACCAGACTATATGGTTCGCAATGCAAAGAGGTCTATGCTGGAGGAGCTGGAGGGGATGCTAGAGATCGTAGGTCCTCAGTCACTAGGGAAGCCAAGGACTCTGAGCCGCAGAAAGTTTGAGAACCATATCTAATGATATGAGGACTGGTGTCAAGGGCAAGTGAAAGGCACCATCGGTTCTATTTCGTAGTGCGGCGTATGAAGATGCTTGATGGGGGACCTACCTTTCTGAATGTGTTTACGGTTTAGACAGAATGTTGTGTCTGTAACTCTAGTTGTATGATCTATCTTCTGCTTGAACTAGTACTTATGTGTTGCTAGACTAGTTAGAGCTTCTTTATAACCTCTTGTTGTTTGAGGAAGCTTCTTGTAGAAACTGTTTCATAATTTGTCATGAAATGATGTGCGGCATGTGCCCCCTAATAAATAAGACCATTACCATATGGTATGCATATTGGCATGGTGCTTTTCAACCGATGCATCTAACCGTGCGGCGTGTTGCCAAGCCTCCGCGTTACCGGCCACATCCAATACGGATAACTGCAAAAAAAAAAAAATGCTAACCGATTGGGAGAGGCAATGATGGAATTTTTTGGTATTCCGGGTCGTTGTTGTGTTCAATATGTGAAGCATCCCGTTCCTCTCAGGCAAAGAAAGTTCCAATTCAACTGGCAAGCACTGCAGGTGACTGCTGAAACCCCCATATGTTGGTGTGTGCCGTGCTCATGGTTATCTTGTGCCGCTTTAAGTTTCTGTAGAAGGTTTGCGTGATGTCATTGCATGCACTGGGGGCTGTACTTATACTGATCTAATTGTAAGTTTGTATATTATACCATATTCATCAGGCTATGTTCAAGTTTGTACCACTTAGGGTGTGTTTGAGGATTGGGGAGATTGGGGAGATTGGGGAGATTGGGAAGATACGCAAAACGAGGTGAGCCATTAGCACATGATTAATTGAGTATTAACTATTTTAAACTTCAAAAATGGATTAATATGATTTTTTAAAGCAACTTTCCTATAGAATTTTTTTGCAAAAAACGCACCGTTTAGTAGTTTGGGAAGCGTGCGCGCGGAAAACGAGGTGTTTTCTCTCTCAATCTCCCTCAATGTCCTCCAAACGAACGCTGCCTTAGGTTGTATTTCTCATTGATCAGTATATTGACATCGAAGTATGATTCTTTGTATTTTGGTAACCCTGTGCACATGTTAACGAGCGCGGCGTGCTTATACTTCTTGTAATATAAATGCTTGACTCCGCCCGCCCCAATCGATCCCGAGCTCGAGCACCTTGGTCACCCATCCCGTTGTTTCCCCACTCTGTTCCAAGCTGGTCCTTCCGGAGCTTCGAGTCTCTGCCTTGGCTTGGGCCACCACTCCATAATTTTTTTTTAGATAATGGAATGAAACATTCCTACCTTTGCTCATTAGAGCTAAAGCCAACCACTTCCTCCCTACATTCCATTTTCCACATTTATTTAACTGGCCGATTGCACCATCCCCATCCACCCCCACGTCTCTTCTACATCTCCCTCCCGGACCCAACCACCTTCCTTCCTATTCCTTCCACCCCCAAGACCCATGGCCTCCTCCCCGCCGTGACGTTTAACTATTTATTACTCCTAGTCTATGATATGTGGATGGATGATCTTATGGTTAACATATACTATCATCTATTTAAATGCATATTACAACTAAGATAAGTTAAGACATCTTCCGCCTTCCCGCAGCAGAGGAGCATCATCCAAAGGCAAGGGAATGACAGCGCGTGCAAGGCTCCACAAGAGTCAGGGTTGTTATAGGTGAAACTTTATCCTCGATGTACCTTCGTACAGCAATGGCAGCTCTTGCGGATTCCTTGAGCACAGCGTTGCTAACAGGCCAGCAAATCTTCCCATTACTTTCCCCACAACACCTATCATCACCACCTCTAAGTGTGTCCAACACAAGACGCTCAAGTGAGACTGCGGCCTTGACGATGCCACATGTTAGCTCAACCAAGCTCTTTGCGGAGTTGAACCCTAAGATCTTCACGCTCTTGAGGCAGTCATGGCTGAGCTCGGGCAGCTGCCTCAAATGTGGGGAAGAACTTTCAATAATCGATTCATGTGCCATATCGTCCTGACAAACCTGGAGGTGATAAAAAGGAAGATTATATATGAATGAATCAATGGTCCATCCGACAGATATCTTTCTTTGCAGGATGGAATAATGGATGAACAGCACAGCCTTACATCCAAGTATAAAGTCTCCAAGGAAGGAGATGCATCGACGAAAGAAACCAGAAAGAAATAATCATAGGATGGGGAAAAGGTCCCTCCCGCAATCTGAATTGTTAGGTGCTTGAGGTAGAGGAATTTGGTAGGCAACATTGGTATATTAACCGCCTGCACAACAAATGCATTGTCACATGCAGAATATTTCTACTGTCATATGCATATGTATAGCTACTATATATGCAGGGTCTTAGAACATACCTCAGAGTCCGAACCTAATTCCATAGTCTCAAGGAGGGCGATAGGCAACTAGTTTTGTAAATTTTTCAAATAGAAAATTATTTCTTGTTAACAACCAAATTTGGTAACATCTGTGTCAGGAAAGAAGATTGGATCAAAGCGAAGTCGGAGGCGAAGATCGAGTTCGGAAACAGAGTAGGAATCGGCTGGAGTCCAGATCGGCTATGATTAGGATCGGCTGGGTCTGAGTCGGGCTAGGTAAGCCGATACAGCCGATTCCGACAATACGACTTGTGTACGACATCGGGTTCAAGTTAATGTGCTTCAAGATGATTGCCACGCATGGATAGAGTCCTGGGAAGGCAATTGTATCTATTAATTAAGATATTTTATGTAGATTCCTTATAGATAAATGTGGGCAAAAGTCTGCCGCAAAGACTTATGGTATCTTAGAGTTTGTAAGAGATAATAGTCATGTCCGGTATGGGCATATCTTGTAATTCTCGGGTATAAATAGACCCTGAGCCCTATGTAATTGATAACACACACGTTCAATACAATTTCGGCGCATCGCCACCCTTTTTGCTTTAGTTTTGTTTCGACGAGTTCTTGCTTTTGGGTTGAGCTGCATCGGTTTCGATCTTCAACAAGAGGTAAAACTTGTTATGATGACTTGTATTCTCGGGATTAGTGCTTCCATCTTTATGATACTCTAATCTTATTTATATAATTCGTCGAGTTATCATATATCTTACATAATCTCTAGCAATATCGCCATCTAACCTACTATCGGTTAACATCTGTTAGCAGAGGGCAACCGATTAGGTTAGATTTTGACGTTGATCTAGATTATATAAGATATCTACCACTCTATGAAACTTCTAGCGGCTTGATTGTCTAGATATCGTTCTTCATTTCATACTTAATGTTGTATCAGTTAAGTTTGATCTGTTAAGTCGTGCTTAGAATATCGATCTCTAGCCTGCCTTCTAGTTGCCGATTAGAATAGCATCGGAGTTTCAGCCGATCTTATCCGATTTAACTATATTTGTTATATATGCTTTATTGACATGTTAAATCTGCTCTTTATATCAAGATATTGTTGTATCTAAGTATGTTAGGCCTTTGTTTGATATATTATACATGCTTTAATATCCTGATATAGAGTAGTATCAGAGTATTAGCCGATACATGTTAGATCTATTTGATCGGCTACGCTATAAACATATATAGTCCTGTTATTGATATATATTTCAATCTAAGTGATTTATACTGTCTCGGCATGGTGACTGATCTATCCCAATCATTTGATTTAAGTATATATCGATATAAGGAGTATATATCGTTAATATCTACAGCCGATCGAGTAGATTTAGTTCTTCTTTACTTATTCATGTCTGCCGATCGATACACAGATGACATCGGCTCAAAGGTAAATGATATGTCATCGGCATCTAGCCGATCGGCTATCATTTATAGATTTAACCACGGTTTCTTTGCTTCTATTTCTTGTTGATTACAGGATCAAATCAACTGGCACGCTAACACACCTGAAGGTGAGCTTTGGACCTGCACTGGAGTTAAGCAGATCTCCCGGGCCACGTGTTTTCTGTCAACACTTTTGTAAATATTTCAATAAATAAAATTAAAAATTAAAAAAAAAATCACAACTAGTGCACCAACTGCATGTGGACAGGAGGGAGTATGTAGTATACATGTAGATTGTGAATGGCGGTTGGACCGCCCGGCTCACCGGTCGGACAAGTGGACCGCTGAAACGAGAGTTCGTCCGGGTCATCCATCGGTCCGGCTTTTTTTACTAAGGTTTAAAGGGCGAAAATCCGATTCGTTGTAAAATTAAGGGATCTCAGATGAACTTATACCATTTCTTGAAATCCGGGGCGGGCTGGCGTGGATTCTACCCGGCCTGCTCCCTTACTTCGGCCCCATATACTACCAGCCCACGAGGCCCATGCATCCACTCTTCCAGAAACTTCCGGACTTCCAGAGTCTTCGACACGGATAGCGCCTCCTCCCAGTCCCATCGCACAACGACCGTTGGATTGTTGAGCCACGGATCGCGCGTTGATCCGAGCAATCTGAACTGTTGCTGCGCCACGGATTCGTTCGCTGTCTCAAATTCATTTTCAGATTTCCCGCTCCCCGGTTCAAAATATTCAGCCCAATTTCTAGTATAAATACCCGGCACAAGTAGGGAATCAATCGCCCCCAATTCGATCGAGAGAGAGAGAAATGGCTCTCCAGCTGAGCGGTCTCGCCGAAGTCGTGCGCGAGGTCGGCGTCGCCCCGGGCCCCCGCCGCGTCGTCATCATCTCCGACATCCAGGCAGGCGACGCTGCTGTCATCGACGAGTTAATGGCGATCCAGCTCGGTGTCGATGCGTCCTGGGAATTCGTCAACAGGGAGCGGCTCAGGAGGATGGGGCGCACCTACAACCTGCTCAAGATGGTGGAAGCGGTTCTCCCAGGCCTCATCGACGACCCCTACCACGCCTCCGACTTCCTCCGCGACATGGAGCATAAAATCAGGACCCGCGCTACTTTCTCCGGTGTCTCCTTCCGCGTCCTCGCCGTCGAGTTCTGCAACCTCCTGCGCGACTACAACGACCGCATCATCGCTGATCCTCCCGTCTCTACCCGCGAGGAGCTCCAGGACCACATCAACGAGCTCATCGCCCAACTCGATGACCTTCTGCACCAGACCTGCACGCTGCGCCAAGATGACCCGGTTCCATGAAGGCAAGCGGAAAGTTCATGTGAGGAGGTCCCGATCGTACCTAGTTGTTCATCTGATCTGATGGTAGTTACAGTAGCAGTAGTAGTCAAGTAGTCGAATCAGCATGTTAATCCTGTTTGAAGGAGCAAGTAGCAGCGAGTAATGTCACTAGTAGTACAGCACAGCACAGCAACACAAGTATATGAGGATGTACCCGCACAACCACAGTATAGACAAGTGTGAAATATATGGAACCACCATAAGTTGGTTTGAATTTGTTCTCAATCGTGTTGCCTGCTTGGTTTCAGTTCGTTGGTGGCAAGTCATCTCTCTTCTGAATCTTCTTGTGAAGTTGTTTTCTGAATCTTGCTGTGAAATTGTTTTTTCTGAATCCTGGTGGTGGCAAATCGTCCGTCTTCTGAATCTTCTTTTCCCCTAGCTTCTGTTCTGTCCGGTTTGTGTACACAGATCTGGTTCGCGTCTTTTCACCCAAATTTTTAGATGTTTCTGTCTGTGTATAGAATCGTCCGGTCGATTGTGTTTCAGTTTCTTGCAGGATTAGTCTGCTGGCCACCGTGCTCTCTGCTAGCTTGTGGTAGTAAATCCTTTCTCCTACCTTGATGGTTTTTTTTCTCGCACACATCGATTCTGATTTCCTCCGGTTTTTTGCTCGTTCCTCCGATGTAGGCGTCCCCCGCCCTCTTCCTGGCAGGGGCTTTGGAGCGGTAGAGATGCAGTTCCAAGTCCTTCCCCGGCAACCCGATCTGCCATGTGCCACAACACCTAGTAAGTGGAATATGTTTTGATTGCCTTGTGCCAGATTATAATGAGAATGAGAAAGGTGACAATTACTTCTGCTGTTTGCCTCCCTCCTGATTCACAGTTTCATACTAGTATTTAGCAAGTTTTTCTCTGTGTTTTACTTAATGAGATTGCTGTTTGGGTTGTGGACTTTAGTATTGTTTCTGCTAGTTAATACATATCCTGCAGTCTTCAGTCTAACCACCTACTTCATTTGCTTGCTTGTCTGGAAGGGAAACACTTGGTTGCATTACTGTGTAGATTATGTCAGATGGTTCTCTAGCTGCAGTTACTATAGTAAAATTGATCATCCTCTGAATCATTGCAGGTGGGAGGTGGCATGAATATCAAATCTGATTGTGACGAACCATCCCCGTATGCTGCTATTCTTGCTTCTCAATACTATGTTGTACTGTTGTTTCAAGATTTGTATGCAGGCATTGTTCTTGCGTAGGACAAACGGACATATCTTGGGTTACCTATTTTTGGAATTCTGTTGAGTTTGAACTAACATATTGCCTTGCTGTACGTTGAGAACAATTTGTTTTGCTCATATACAAGTTTCACCACTAGTATGTCTTGATTGCCGTATGTTTTGATTATAATGAGGATGAAAAGGTGACAATTACTTCTGCTGTTTGAAGAGAGCTCTAAACACATGATAGATGTGCCTTTTGATTCACGGTTTCATGTTTAGCACGCTCTCGATCGATGATGTAGGAAGGTTTATTTGTGTTTACTTGATGAGGAGCAGGAACATTTCTTACATTTTGCTGGTTGGGATGTGGATTGGTAACGTGTTCAGTTTTCCTACTGGGCAGTTGCATGGGATGTTTTGGCATGAAATTGATTTTGACACAACTTGTAATTGTTGTGTACTCTCTCCGTCCCAAAAAAAACCCAATCCTGGGTTTGAACTCCAGGTTCAAACCTAGGATTGGGTTCCAGGTTCAAACCTAGGATTGGGTTTTTTTTGGGACGGAGGGAGTAGTAGCTATAGTCAGTTTTTCCTCACTTAATAGCTATAGTAAAATACTCAAGAGGAAGTCCAGGGAGCCCAAGGTGGGGAATGATACTCTTCGACCCACTGACCGTGAAGGAGAGTACTATACTACGTGCATGTTTGGAGTTGCTCATATCTTCGCATCCTTCAAATGACACATTCATTTTAACTACTGTTTTGGCCAGCTACTAGTACTAATTCCTGCAGTCTCCAGTCTAACCACCTATTCACTGACTTGTCAGGATGGCATTACTGTGTACTTCTAGATTATTTTGGTTGGTTCTCTAGCTGAAATTGATCATCCTCTGAATTATTGCAGGTGGGAGGTGGCATGAAGATCAAAGCTGATTGTGATGAGTCATCCCCATATGCAGCTATGCTTGTTTCTCAAGATGTTGCACTGTGTTGCAAGGTTTGTATGCAGACATTGTTCTTGCGTGGAGTATAGGACAAATGGACAGATCTTGGGTGACTGTTTTCTGGAATTCTGTCTCATTATGCTCTGTGCGGCTGGAGGCAACAAGACAAACACACCTGGACCTGATGCTCAATCTGCTCTCAGGGCTCTTGCTCTTGCTCGGTCTGGGATGAATATTGGTCGCATTGGTAAGCTCAGAGTTTCAAATACTAGTTGATGCTGACACAATCGAAGGATACGGAAATGTTGTTGATGCTGTGCACAATACTTGCAGAAAGGGAGGTAGTAGTAGGGAGGAGGCTGTGTCGTAGGCCATTTATCGCCATGGACATGGAGAGTATCTCCTCTTTGGATAGTCGCTCCAAAGCTTCCCGAAGAGAGAGTTTCGCTCATTGTCCTGAATTTCTGACTGTCACTTAATTTGGCCACTCTGTTTTGGTTAAGGAAATATCAAGTTTTCATGCTTAACAAGACCCAATCTAGTATACCTTGGTGGTTCCATATAATATGGTTGGATTGTTTTATGAGTTTGTGCCATCTACTGTATGAGTTTGTGTCAGTTTATCTTTTGTGAGCATAATATAAGTGTGATCTTGTTGGCTGCATGATTTCTGGGGTACAGCTTAGAAGTTACTCCTATTTACTGTACTTAGATGGATGGTTGGTTGTGCTGTTGAATCACTTGTGGAGTAGTAGTACTTAAATTTTAACATGTTGCATTTGCATGGAGTTTTGTCAGGGTTCAGTTGCATTTGAAGAGAATGTACGGGTGATCATGTTGCATTTGTCAGGGTCCAGATCACAACTTTTGCTGGTGTGCTGTCCTGATCTGGTTTCATGTGATTTGTTGAATGATGATGGACCTGTGTGTTGAATACGTAGTAGGAGTAAGTACTACTCCTTGCTGCAATTTTACACCATTGTCGAATTTATGATGATGCTTGACTGAAATTTCAGACGTCTCAAGGAGGGATAGGCAGGGGCGCAGGGCCTTTTACCATTGAGGTTACTTGGGCCATGGCAACTAGTACCACTATGGGCAGTGTGGCTACAACATGTATCTTCAGATTTTTTGTGTTGGCCTTATCATAGCATGCTGCTCTGCTCTGCTCTGACGTTAAACAAGGGCTACGAGCAGGCTTCCCTGAAAGACCAGAGAATTTGAGTTCATTGGTATATTCGACAAGGGAACAATTTATTGGTATATTCGACCAACAAATTCATTTATTCATATTGTTCTATCAGTGTAAAAGTCGAAGAATATTGTTCTACTAGTGTCTGTCAAAAGCCTAGCCGAGCTTGAGCTTGGATCAAGAAGCTAAGCTCATTGCTACTCCATCCGTTCTAAAATGTAAGAGATTTTAGTTGAATAAGACACATTCTAACGTCCATCCTAAAATGTAAGAGATTTTAGTTGAATGAGACACATTCTAAGTTCCTGTGTAGAATCATAATATTAGGATATATATCATCCAATCAAAATCATAATATTATGATATATCTCATACAATCAAAAGCCTTTCTATTTTAGGACGGAGGAAGTAGCTCTCAAATGTATATATGAAGATGCGTCTTGGCCCTATATAAATTTTATGCACATAAAACTAAGCAAGAAAACATTGCACTGCAACCATGACATACGGAGTATATAGTAAAAGCAGTTCCCACTTGCGATTTAAGAACGCACCAACGACGACATGACTCCCAACTGGGAGCTGGAAACTTAAACTGAAAACTCAGTTTTCAATTCCTCAGCAAACGAACAGGTCCAAATAATCCAAGAAACAAAGCATGGTTTATCTATAATTTGATTAAAGCGACAACATTGTGCATTTCAGATAGCTTATCGCATAGTCTTAAGAAAATAATAAGGGATAGTTAAAGATGAAACTACAAAGATCTTATGACTAACATATACTATCATTTATTGAAATACATATCACAACTAAGATAAGTTATGACATCTTCCACCTTCCAGCAGCATAGGGATCATCCAAAGGCAAGGGAATGACAGCGTGTGCAAGTCCCCACAAGAGTCAGAGTTGTTGTAGGTGCAACTTTATCCTCGATGTACCTTCGTACAGCAATGGCAGCTCTTGCGGATTCCTTGAGCACAGCGTTGCTAACAGGCCAGCAAATCTTCCCATTACTTTCCCCAGAACACCTATCACCACCTCTAAGTGTGTCCAACACAAGACGCTCAAGTGAGGCAGCGGCTTTGACAATGCAACATGTTAGCTCAACCAAGCTCTTCGCGGAGTTGAACCCTATGATCTCCACACTCTTCAGGCATTCATGGCTGAGCTCGGGCAGCTGCCTCAAATGTGCGGAAGAATCTTCAACAATCGATTCATGCCTCATATCTTCCTGAAAAACCTGGAGGTGAACAATTAAAGAATATGAATCAATGGCCCAGCAGATATATATATGCAGGATGTTGAACAGGGTGGCCCTTACATCCAAGTATAAAGTCTCCAAGGAAGGAGACGCGTGAAGGAAAGAAACCAGAAAGAAATAATCATAGGATGGGGAAAAGGTCCCTCGCGCAATCTGAATGGTCAGGTGCTTGAGGCAGAGGAATTTGGTAGGCAGCATTGGTATATTGACTGCCTGCACAAGAAATACATTGTCACGTGCAGATTATTTCTACTGTCATCTATAGCTACTATGCAGCACATAAAATCTTAGAACATACCTCAGAGTCTGAACTTAATACCATACTCTCAAGATTTGGCATAATGGATGGAAGCTGAGCACGAGCATAGCACACGACATTCGGTCGGATCATGGACAAGACCTTCATTGTCAGTGTTTCTCCAAGTGAGAACTTGATCCCTCCACTAAGGGAAATACTGGACAAATTCGGAGCTTCACACACAATCACTTGCATCCTGCGGCATGCCATAACACTCAGGCAGCTGAGATGCTGCAGCACACACGGTATCTTCAGGAAACTTATCTTGTTGCATACATTAAGTCTCAACTGCTCCAAAACAAGGGAGTTCAAAAGAAGGGACTCTAACTCGTCACCTGTAATATGCACACCACACAGATGCAGTTTTGTTAGGCTTCTCAAGGGGCCAAGTTCAGCCATGGGATGGAAGGCACAGAAGGTAAGCTGAAGACATCGAATTGAGTCTCGAACACCATCAGATAAAAGTGAGCATGCAAAGATGTACTTTTTATGTAGCGTAAGAGTGAGCTCTTCAATCCCTGGTGTAACAGCAACCTCAAGCCATCTATCAATGTAAGGATATGTACTGTCCTCATCAGCTACATTAAGCTTCAATATCTTCGCAGTGCCCAAGTGGTTTCTCAGAATGCTGTCAATTTTGCACTTGAAATTTCCCCTAGATGTCCTCGGGCAAAGTGTTTTGAAATTCAAGCTGAGGTTGGGATGAAATCTCCAGGAATTCAGAAAGGAATGAGAAAGGCAAGCAGCACGAGCAGCAGCACTCATCGGCATTAAGGAATGTATGTGACGCCAGATGTCCTGCATCCATAAGCATGGGATAAAATCTCAAATTAAGGCCAAATGGAATTACAACAAGAGAAAAAAAAAGAACAGGAGAACCACATGGAGTATCTCTGCCCCAGGTTGCTCTCTATATGATTGCACAAGGTGCAGGATGGTGCAATTGATTGTAGTCCATGATATAAGTTTATGTGCATTTGTTCAACCAAAATGCACATCGATGATTAGTTTATTGTGCAATAGCATATTATAAATAGATCAGTATAGCAAAGAAACATAAATTTGTAACTTCAGCACAGGGTGTAAGCAGAATCTCGTGAAACTAGAAGTCTTGACATGTTTATTGTAAGATAGACATAAACCTTGCTAAATGCAATGAAAAATATAACATATTGAAAAAACCATATAAAAGGACATCATGAAAGCAGTTCAACCTGTCATTTCGTATGGATTTAGGTAGCAAAATAAAAACATCAATGCCTAGCATGAATAGTGAAGCCAAAAGAAATAGGGATCACTATTTTTATAGACTGAATATGTCAATTAATGCTTGTAAGAACTTGGATACAGCAACATTTCAGTATCATCACTGCAGTAAAGCATCATATGCCTATGTAAGTAATCAAAACTGGATATTTTTCATATTCGTCTTAAATGAATATGCATGATTGACATGATTAGGCCTGCTCAAACTTATAATGAAATCATTCATACTTAGGCATGGCTCCCAATTGCTTATATCAGGAGGGAGCACATGTTACAGTTGTTGGACTTAAGAGGAAAATGCAACTACTGATGCATGCCACGCCTTATGGCCATTGCCCAACATTAAAAAAAAAAAAAACAAAGCAACTACGCATCTTATTAGGCTGGGCCTTCTAAGAGAGCTAGAAATAGTCCTAAATGTATGGTAAGTGCAGCGATACAGAGGTAGCTGACAATATTTTGACATATTCTGTGGTTAAAGATGTGTTTAAAGACATACTGATGGGAAAAGATGAAAGCCGTTTCAATATGTTTAAGAACAAGCGTTATATTATATTACTGCTTCCTGAAAGACTTAGACACAGCTGCTACAATAATGGTTCATCTGCAAAGGCTAGTAACATCAGTCAAATAGACAGCCCACAAGTGAGAGATCCTAGGGTGTATGATTATACTATATATTTTTATCAGGAGTACCATGAAAGAATCAACAGTCATGTCTCATTATCAGTAGATATGCTCAGGCTCTGGCCTGGAGGACTAGTGAGAAAAGAATGGAATGCATACGGATAATAAGAACGCAATGAAGATATTGCCAGCCTTTGAACAATGACCATAAATAATAATTCACTAGGAGTTTAGGACAATGTTCGATTGCATATATATTTTGTGACTATAAATAATAATCAACTAGCGCAGTGGGGTGAATTAGGATGATTAAAGCAGTTAAAGCTTACAATCTAAGCTTGCGTCAGAATTTTACAGTGCTGTTAGCATACCTCAGGAAGGTACGGGAGTGAATAAATCAGTGAATCGCCATGGCCAACTTGTTCAGAGGGGGAGTTATTAGTGCTACCCACTGTACAATTCGATTTATCTGCAGCTGAACCAGCACGATTATAATTATAATAGCCCATCAGACTGACAAGAACACATTAGAGAGAGAGAGAGAGACAAACAACGTAGGGGGCTACCGACCAATGGTTTATTGGGATAAAAAGATCAAGAATTTTTCAACGAATAAATGCAGATATTATGGGGTTAAAAGGAGCTGAATCGGTGACCTAACCTAGCAAAGCAGCAACAGTTGAATGTTGTGCAAATTATAATTCGGTATCCATCTAACATTAGTCAACATGAACCGATTAGCGAACAAGAACTGATCCAGGTGAGACGAACCAGAGACAGGGCTGGGAGGCAAAGGGAGTTGAGGCTTACTCATGGGCAGGGCTGGGGCTAGGGCTAGGTTTTGCCACCGCTGCTCGCGTTGCACGGCCACGGAGGACATGGCAGATGGCATTCAGGACGACGATAACTCTCTCTCCCCCCTTGGCCCTTGGATCTCAGACTCTCCTACCTATCTATATAGCTCTTCTAGTATGAGAGTTCTGTTTCTGGTTTCCTCTCCAACTCGTTTTTTATTCGATTGGAGCTGGACTTTACTATATGTCAAAACGGATTATTAGTAATAAAAAACAATTTTATGAGTCTCAAATAGAAACTACTGCTACAGCAGAGTCCTTAACGACTTAAAAAAACAAATATTCAAATAGAAACTACTACTACAGCACGATGGATTGGGCACGATTAATTAGGTTCAGCCCGACGGGCGTCGTAGGACAGCCCGCAATGTGCAGACATTCGTTTAATTAGGTTCGTCAACCAGCAACAAGACTGGATTATTTCACGTGAAAATATTTACACAAGCACATGAGTACTCCCTGTCCCAAATCAAACTAGGAACAAGAGAGGGAAACCTACCAAGAGAGGGAAGAAAATACAAAATTGCAAAAACAAAAAAAAAACAAGAGAGCAGTGAATAGGAAACAGATTGAAAGCTACTAGCTCAAGAACATGCAAGAGAACTCATAGATTCAGCAGAGCCACAAGCACTAATATTGCTAAATGACATGTCAAGTGATTAACAACATCAAACAGCTACAATCTTTCTTGAAAACTACATCAAACAGCTACAATCCTAACACAGATCGACATTGCTCAACTTTGTGTAATATCATGATTAGAAAATTCTCAATCTCACTCTTCGTAGTATGGTTTAAATTCGATTCCCTGCGCTGAAGTATAAATTGATCGGTCAATACACAGCATATTTGATTGCACACATCAAACAAATCGCAGGAGTAGAGTGGCACATCAAACAAATCTTGAACACGAACCGAAGAAGAAGGAGGAAAAAGAACTGACCGGCCGTCGTCGCTGCTGCACAAGGTGTGGCCGGCCAATTGGAACTGCAACTCTCTTCCATGGCAGATCTGCCAATGGAGCTCGAAGTAGTTGCCTGCTCCCACGCCGATGGAGCCCTTAGAGCTGGAGGCGGCAGCATGGGCAGCATCGCAGCGATGGACGGCGTTCGCTGCTGGATGGATGGGCGACGAGTAAGTCGGCGTCGGTGACGAGAGTAGCGGCGGCTGCGTTGCCGTCTCGCTGCCCAGCGACGTCTCCCCGTCTAGTGCAATCGTGCCCTAATGGGCCAAAAAATTTTGCAATTCGCGGGCATTTTTGTGGGGGCGGGACTGCGGGCCGCAAAAAAAGCCCGCCCCACTTGCACCCCTAGACACGATGCAGAATCGCTAGAGATGGTACCATGACTTCACGGAGACAAACAGCATGCTACTCCATCCATCCTCAATGGCGAACAACTGACACCCAGTAATTAAGCTCGAGTATACGAGCTTCGAATAGAGACTAACAGAACAATGATGCAACGGGCAAACAGAACAGAAGCAACGCGACTATGAACAAAAAGGCCATAGGCTGAATGCTCAAAACCATACCATCTCAGCAACAGGCAAAGACAATTTGGTTTGGAGGTTCTTAAAAGGCGCCTTAAATAAGGTAAACAGTCGCATTACAGCTAGCAGCAAACATGAGTTCGCGAATTGATCAACATAACATTAGGCAAAAGAGCTCAAAAAAGGATAGTCTGGGGCAGATAGTTCTATATCCTTGCAAACAACTCGCTATAGCAAAACTCCAGGCAGACGCAGCAGCAGATTTTAAGCGTTGGCAGCAGCCTGGGCGGCAGCATCCCGCTTCCTTTGCTCCTCGATGATGCTGAGCTTGATGCCCTTGCCCTTGGGCAGGCTCACCCAAGGCTTGTTGCCCTTGCCAATGGTGAACACATTGCCCAGACGGGTGGCGAATTGGTGGCCCAGGGCATCCTCAACGTGGATGGTCTCGAAGCTGCCTTTATGCTTCTCCCTGTTCTTGATCACACCAACACGGCCTGTGTTCCTTCCTCCAGTCACCATGACAACATTGCCAACATCAAACTTGATGAAGTCGACAATCTTGTTGGTCTCCAGATCGATCTTGATTGTGTCGTTTGCCTTGATGATCGGGTCAGGGTAGCGGATGGTGCGACCATCATAGGTGTTCAGGTAGGGGATTCCCTTCTGGCCAAACTGCACAGACCGAACCTTGCAAAGCTTGAACTGTGCACAGAAAAATTAGAATCAGCCAGCATTCTAACTTGAATTAATACACTCAAAAGTAACGGAATGCACAATGCTACAATCAGTTCTTCTCTAGAGGTAAACTAAAGAAGCAATTCTCAATAACAGTTCAATCAAAGCAAAATATCTTTCTCAGCACAACATAAATTTCATTATTTCAAACAGAATACCTTCATATAACAAGAGTGTGTTCAGCAAGAACAGTACCAAAAATTAATATGTCCTAACCTTAGCATCCTCATCCTTGACAGACTGAAGGCGGAAACGTCCCTTGGTGTCGTACAGAAGCCTGTAGTTCTCACCAGTCTTGGGGATGGAAATGACATCTGCCAAAAAAGAATATGTTTAGCACAAAGCACCAAGTGTTTTTACATCATACACTGAAGCATATATTGATTGCAATAACGATTGAGCATACCCATGAAACCAGCTGGGTAGGTCTTGTCAGTCCTGACCTTGCCATCAACCAAGACATGGCGCTGCATGAGGATAGAAATAACCTCACGGTATGTCAGAGCATACTTGAGCCTGTTCCTGATAATGAGGATCAGAGGCAGGCACTCCCTGGACTTGTGAGGACCAGAAGATGGCTTGGGGGCCTATGGTAAAAGGTAATTAGAAATATAAGCTATCAGGTAACAGAAAAAAAAAAGATAAGCTTCAAGCATGTGTAGTTAAGTGTAAACAAGAATGACAAACTTACAAAAGCTCCACCAAGCTTGTCGAGCATCCAATGCTTGGGCGCATTGAGCCTCTTCAGATGCTTCTTCAAACCCCTTGCCTGGTATTACGGTAAGGGAAAAGGAAATGATCAGCACAAATAACAACATAACTGCAGAGTAGCACGACATGAATACAATGACACAATGAAATCACAAGGTTATGAACAGCCCTAACATCGCTCATGGCAATGGTGCGGCATGGTTTCTAAGTAATCTTTGTTAATTCTTAACAAAAAAGGAATCTAGACACCAGAACCTATAATCCTTGAAGCCAGGCAGATATACAAGTTGAACCTTGGCACGTAACAGAAATGTAGAGGAACAATAACGCAGCAAACAGCACGAGCTAAACCCTCAAACTAGCATTGACAGTACAATTATACAAAGCATACTGAAAATAACGAGCTGTCTAAGATCCCACAAATGGGCGACAGCCAAGGATGCAATGTCCAATCCTAGACTCTACTACTAGAAGCCCAACATTGTGCATAGCTGTTCATTCTCGCGCAACGCTGAAACATAACCACTAGGAACTGATCCACAATCTGAAGCCAGCCAGCGAGTACAAATTCAACATAACATGCGTTTAAATCCTAACAGGCTGTAGCGTGGTACAAAGCTATCTACTCAACATACGAATCCTACACATCACAAAGAAATCTCATGGACCAAGAGCAAAATAACCAAGCCGACTACTAAGCTACTACATCCTAGCAGGCCACGCGCCGCACACGAACTCCCACTCAGGGAGAGCGGGGAATGGAACTAATCCCACCGAAGCTACGAACGAGAAGGATGCCACAGATCAGCCAGATCCGCAGACGCGAGAGAGCGCGCGGGGGGGAGAAGCATAGGACGGAGGAGAGGGGGTAGGGGGCTCACCATGGTTGCGAGGTCGGGCTAGGTCGCCGTGCTCTGCCGCCGCCGCCTGCTGCTTCGTCCTCCTCTGCTCCGCGCCGCGCCGCCGCCGAGATGACAAGAGTGGGAGAGCGAGGGTTGGAGAGGCTATATATACTAGTTGGTGTAGGGTTTTAGTTCACCGGATTTACGAGTTTGCCCTCCCGCTCCCCTCATGGGCTTCCACGATTTATTCCAGAAATTACGGCCCGTTTTAAGACCCTCATGGCTGAATTCATGGCCCAAGTAGTTAGATCGGGCCTAGTTTGGTCCCGGGTTGCTTGGATCATTTGCTTCTCGGCCCATTAGACTCTTACATGGCTGTGATGCATCGTGGGCTGTATTCTTGCAGCTTAGGTGAAGTGACAGATTTTATCCAATAAATGGGCCCATGTAACACAATTAAGAGCATGGGCCGAAGTGCAGGGTTGCAGCTTGTTCTTTCGGTGTACTTTTTCCTTAAGATAAGATTACAAGCCTGAATTTTACAGAGCAGCACAAAGGCCCAGACCTCAACCAAAGAGAGCAGAAACTGAAATCTCTCAACTCTCCAAAGTAGTTGTTGTCTCTTCTACAAATACATCACACTTTTGATTTTAATTTTTGAAAGGAGCTACATGCCGTCGTGAGTTGTGAGTATAACAAACTCACACTTTGACTTGTATAACAAAGTCGTTTTTCATGCCATCTGAAAATGACATTGCAACCTGCATATCTCTAGTTATTTACAACAGTTGGTTCACCTTTGATTCAGGCGGTTCAACTAGGTAGGTCCGTATAGGTTTTGTTATAACTTTTTTTTTTTGCGGGGAAACAAGGATATATTACTCAGAATAGGAGTTCTCACAAAGCAAATGTGAGATAGCAATACAAGAGTCATCCGGCCAGAAGTAAGTTAAGGATTCACTTCGGCCTTTATTTGCTAAGAAATGATTAATGCTATTCTGAGTCCTGTGCACTTTATTAAGTGCAATCACCCTTGTTCCAGCCATCGGGGAAGATTAAGGGGGGAAGAAGGGGCGGACGCTGGGACGTGCCACGTCGGATTTTTGCTACAGTCCTACAGTACCGGGGCTGGTCTTTTTGCGAAAAATAAGTTCAATCACCTCGTTGACTACGCACGCATCAGCAGACAATACCTTATTCACTGACTTGATCAGCTGGATTGCTTCTTGGCAATCGGATTCAACGACGATGGGCAGCAGAGTCCATTGGAGGGCCAGGGCTATTCCATCTCTGCAAGCTAGCAGCTCTGTTTCTAAAGCTGATCTGCAGCGACTAATGTGGCCACAGCCCAAAATTTCCTGGTGGCCCTCTTAACAGCTGGGGCAACACTCTTGTCAGCTCAAAATTCAGTGCAATTTCTGGAGCTGATTTTGAGCAACTACAGACTGGCAGTAGGGGTTGCGTTGAAGGATATTGAGCCGAAAGACATTGTTCTTGGTCGATTTCTTGCCCTCCAGGTCACAACACGACTGCATGTGCCCTGAAAATCGAGACGTTGGTGTTCCTTGTTGTTTTCTGCAATCATTGCATGTTATGTTATTGTGGAGATTATGGATATCCCATATCTACACGGCGATGATATTTGGGCTGAATATAGGATACCGAATATAGATAGAATATCTTATGTGTATCTTGGGTTTGTTTCTCAACTTGTGCATCAAGGAAATACCCTGAGACTTAGTCGGTCACGACTGTATTTTATATGTATCTGCATATTCCGTTAGGGATATAGATTGTCTTTTGTAACACGGACTCCTCCCCATATATAAGGGGGGTCCGGGTGCCTCTAGGGGCATATGTTGTTTTTCCCCAAATCATACAATCAATAATACACTCGGCGGATTCATCCCCGGACAGGAGTAGGGTATTACTTCTTTTATAAGAAGGCCTGAACCTGTATAAATCCTTTGTCTCCAAACCCATACACTTTTCCAGCTTGATAGCCACCCCCTTTTATTATTGCCGAAATCTAGTTTCGACAGTTGGCGCGCCAGGTAGGGGTTGCGTCAAGCTTTTCGCCGATCAGTGCAATGGGTTCCATCTCCGGCATCGACGACCTCGTCTTCCCACCCGGGCAGACGTTTCGGTTCGGCAGCCTCGACTTCGTCACCAACAACTTCGGCAAGATCTCTCTCCTTGACTCGGAGTCGGACCAGTCGGGAGAGAACCAGATTTCGGCCCCGTTTGGACTCCCAAACGCGGCTGAAAGTTACTTCAAGACCATCTCGACCGAGTCGGCTTCAAACCACTCGGGCGAGATCGCATCTTCACCAACGTCACCAGATCAAGATGATGGGGCTTACCCACCGATCCTGATGAAGCTCCCCGACGATTTGGCGGCCGTCTCCATCACGACAGCGTCTCTTTCCCGTAGGCCTAGGCGGAAGTCGGCTTCAACACCGATTTCGCCTAGCTTCAGGGAAGTTGGCGTCATCCTCCAACCACTCGGCACGGTTTCGACGGATCAGCTAGATGGCGACTACAGCTCTCCTACCGTCGACTCGCGCCCCACCGACATCGTGGAGTACGACGAGTTTAGCTCTCGCTACCACGACCCGGATCTCGACGACTTCGACGGAAGCCTAGATGACAACTACACCCCTCTCTATTTTGGCGTCTTCATGGCCAATAACGAGACGGAGGAGCAACGCCAAGCCCGGGAGACCGAAGCGCGTCGCGAGACTGAACGCCGCCGACTGGAAGAGGAGCATCAAGCACAAGAACAAGAACGGTTACGGCATGAGCAGCAGGAGCGTGAGCGGACCGCGAAGGAGGCTGAGGATCGACGGCAGCGAGCTTTGGAAGCAGGACGCCGGGCGCGTGATCTCATCGGCCAGCAAGATGTTGAAGGGACGCCGATTTTTCGCACCCCTCAACAGAATGCGGTTGCCGCGATCACCCTCCTCGACACCCTACTCAGGGAAAGCGAGCTCAATCAATCCGATCACGTCGTCAACATCTTGAACCAGACGAAGACTATGATTGCGGCTTCGGTCCCAGTTAACTCCGAAAGCGTCCACACGCCGACTGGCAGCCGAGTCCCCCACTTCCGATCTCATGACTACCGTCATCCAAGCCTCAGCATCACCGGCGCAGGATCCAATCGCAGGAGCAGGGGCCACGACGAGCGGTCTGTTCACTCACCTCCCGACCACCATAGGGAGCGCCGAGTGGAACGGCCTCGCTCACCACCTCGTCGCCGCCCCGTCGATCTTCGCGACACAATCATACAGCGCCGCGCAGCTCGAGGCTATCATCACTCGCCGGACCGCCACGACGATGACCTTGACGGAGTAGCAGCCTTCACCGACGACCTGCGTCGAGTGGACTGGCCAGCCGGCTTCAAGCCGACTGGAATAGAGAAGTACGATGGTACCACTAACCCAGAATCGTGGCTTACCGTCTACGGTCTCGCAATCCGCGCAGCAGGAGGAGACAGCAAGGCCATGGCGAACTATTTACCAGTGGCTTTAGCGGATTCCGCCCGATCTTGGCTCCATGGATTGCCCCGTGGTACAATCGGATCTTGGGCCGAGTTACGTGACCACTTCATCGCCAACTTTCAAGGCACCTTCGAGCGTCCCGGCACACAATACGACCTCTACAACGTCATTCAGAAGTCCGGAGAATCCCTTCGAGATTACATCCGGCGATTTTCTGAACAGCGTAACAAGATCTCCGACATCACCGACGACGTCATCATCGCCGCATTCACCAAAGGGATTCGCCACGAAGAATTGGTTGGCAAATTCGGGCGTAAGCCTCCCAGGACAGTCAAGCTCATGTTTGAAAAAGCCAACGAGTACGCCAAAGCTGAAGACGCCGTCACCGCGTCAAAGCAGTCGGGTCCCAGTTGGAAGCCAAAAAAGGATACGCCGGCTTCGGGAGGAGGTGGAAGTAACAATCATAAGGACCGCAAGCGTAAGCCTGCAGAACTTGTTGCAACCGCCAGTCACTCTTCTCGACAGCGTTCGCGCGTCAACACGTTCGACAAGATCATGAACTCCCAATGCCCGCACCATCCTAACTCCAACCACGTGGCCAAAGATTGTTTCGTCTACAAGCAATTCGCGGATCAATACACCAAGACTACACGGAAGAACTCCGACGAAGAACAAAGCACGTCGAGGAAGAAGGACGACGGCGACACCCCGGCAGGTTTTCAAGACCACCGCAAGGAGCTCAACCATATCTTCGGCGGCCCCCTGGCTTATGAGTCTAAACGGAAGCAAAAGTTGACCGAACGGGAGATCAATGCTGTTCAGCCCGACACGCCCCAATATCTTCGATGGTCAGAGATTGCAATCAAGTTTGACCGCTCGGATCATCCTGACCGAGTGGTCCACCCGGGGCGGTACCCCCTGGTACTAGACCCAGTGGTCCGTAATGTCAAGCTTCGCAGAACCCTCATCGACGGTGGCAGTGCACTCAATATCCTTTTCGCCAAGACCTTGGATGATATGCAGATTCCTCGCTCCGAGTTAAAACCAAGCAATGCGCCTTTTCACGGCGTAATTCCAGGATTATCCGCAACTCCACTCGGCCAGATCACCCTCCCGGTCACTTTTGGCACTCGGGAAAACTTTCGCACAGAGAATATCAGCTTCGAAGTCGCCGATTTCGAGACAGCATACCATGCCATACTCGGACGCCCGGCATTAGCCAAGTTCATGGCCGTCCCGCACTACACTTACATGATGATGAAGATGCCTGGTCCCCGAGGAGTCTTATCCCTACGGAGTGACATCAAGCAAGCCGTCACATGCGACAAGGAGAGTTGCGACATGGCCCAAACCCGCGAGATAGCGTCTGCTCGAGAGGATATCCGACTGGCTGCAGCCACGGCGGACGAAGGAGAAGTGCCCGCTACCAAGACTTCAAAAAGTGGAGAAAGCGAAGCCAAGACTAAGAAGATTCCCCTAGATCCCTCTGATCCTACTAAAACTGCTGTAATAGGCGCCGAGTTAGATTGTAAATAGGAAAGCGCGCTCATCACCTTTCTTCAGAACAATAAAGATATCTTTGCGTGGAAACCATCTGATATGCCCGGTATTCCTAGAGAGGTGATTGAGCACTCCTTACATGTCAAAGAAGACGCCAAGCCT